TCTCTCCCAACTTTGGTAAAAAATTTTCTTCTTTGACCGAAAAATTCATGATTTGCCTTTTCAATGCATTAGTGCGGTGTAAAGGAAAAAAATTTCTGAAAAATTCATTTTGTAATGCCTGTCAGTCAGGTATTGAAAGAGTTTTTAAAAAATTTAGCCATTTTTTAGCTTTGTCCCTTAAGGAAAAAGGGAAAAGTTTCATCTTGGCCAGTTCAAAATTGTCTTGAAAAGTTCCACATACTTCCTCAAAATCTTTTATATGCATATATAGGTTTTCTGTTTTGAGTCTATGAAATTGAGAGAGCAGTTGAACTGTCCCCGTCTTTACAGTAAAGAGGGGTGCATCTTCAGGAAAGATAAAACAACAAGGGACACTATTCCTTGTAGGATTTAAGTAATCCCTCAGAATTCAAATGTTAGGTACTTTCCCCTCTCTTACAGGAATTTTCTCTCGTTTCTCACCATTTGTCATTTTACTTTCACAAGAGTCTATTACTGATCTAGATGAAAGTGGTTCAGATTGATTTATAGACCCAAAAGATTCAGCTGGCAAAATTTGATAATGAGGAGCGTTTTTAGACATAAAAGTAATTAAAACAACTTTATATACAGTAAAACAAATTTATACACAAAACGTGAGGCCTTATTACCTTTTACCGTAAAACACTTTTTATGGTTCCCTGGCAACGGTGCCAAAAACTTGACTTGATCCGAAATGTGTACACCCAAGTGCAGGCGGTAAAGTTGTAGTAATAATCCGATTAAGTCCGGAGTCGAATTCACAGGGAACTATGATTGGTGTTTTGAAATAAGCAATAATAGAGACCAAGTAACTGAAAATTTTGAGAGTTTGGAGTGGTAGGGTTTTTGAATAGAATAGAAGATTCTTTTCAAGAGTTTTTTAGACAAAATATAGGATTGTCAAAATGTAACAACCGCCCTTTAACTCGAGGATCAGGGCATGTAATAGACTATCCAGTTTATTATGTTTGTACTTTGTAACTCAATTAACTCTCGCGTCAACAACAAGTTAATCAAAAGATAAAGATGGATTGTGAGAATTAAACACATGATTCTGATACCTTTCTAGAAGTTTTACAAGAATTATCTGTGCCGAGACTTAACCCGTCCACAAACAAGCAAGTGTTTCTACAAGGTATCCAACCATGACATTAAGGGTTCATTCTTTGAATAAAGCGCAATAATGGTGGAGATTGAAAGGTTGTTATGAAGAGCTAGTCGGGGTACTTGCCTTGAACCAACGGGTCTTTCTATGCAGGAATCATCCGTATCATACAGAAAGCCCTTGGTTAAACAAAGTACCTCAACTTTGCTAGGTGCATTCAACCATCCATTGAGCAGGTGGAATATAAAACATTAAAGCATGAAGGAGTTGTACAAACATAGCTTCCAAATAATCTTTACATACTCGTCACCTCTTACTAAAGAGTGAATGAGGAACTACTTACTTTTTATGGCCTTGAAAAAGTTAGAAAAGTGAATGCTACTCATCCCTCTAAGTAGAGGAGCTACTAAATGAAGCAAACTAAACAAAGAACTTATCTTCAATGAAGAATAAGTGAATCACTTTCCACCCTTCACGGCTTTGGTAAAATTTCAGAAAAGTGGAAGAGTTTCACTCTTCTAAGAAAGAAGCATACTCAAGCAATGAAAGTGAAATACATGAATAATAAAAGTAGAAGAAAACTAGTTAATTTTGGAGGATTTTCACCACAACAAAAGATGAACGATCTCTCTTGATACTTTGTAAATAAAAGCAAGTACAACTACAAGGGGAGTCTAATCCTCCATCATGGTTGTCACAACATGAATATAGAGACTTAGCATAAGTAAATAAAAGACTCCAACTACAAGGGGATTCTAAGCCTCCATCATGGTTGGTATAAATGCAAAATGAAAACATAAACATGAAATATTCAAGAACTAGATTACTAAACACTCTTACTTTACAAGAACAAGGATTGCTCCCCCTTTTCTCTACAAGAGTAAGAATGCCCTTTAAGCTCCCAACATGAGAGTATTTATAGTCAAGGAAGGGGAGGGGGTAGGAGATAAGAGAGGATGAGTGAATAGTATTTGTCGCCCATGGAAACCAACTACTCTACAGGCAGTCTCAGAGAATGTTCGAACGTGATCTGGCATTCAAACGTTAAATTTGTCTGTTCTTTAAGGACGTTCAAACGTGAGATGCCATTCGAACGTTGTCTGTGTCTTTGCTTTGAGGGCATTCAAACGCCAGATGGGGTCTGATTCCTTCCACTCAAGTGGCCTGTGGTTTCTGTGATGGTCACTTCCATACGTCTTGAACAAATTTGACTTTACACTCAACAACTTGGTCCTCAGTCACTCAAGACAACTTTCGAATATGGAGTGGTGTTCGAACGTTGTACTAAAGTACTTATGTTCTGTGGTTCTTCTTTCTTTACTAAAACATGTTAGGTTCCAGTGGTGTAGTCTTCTCAGGATTCCAGAGGATGTTCGAACGTGAGTTGGCGTTCGAACGTGGTACTCAAGTACCTCAATATTTTCCCTTTATTGACTGCAACATGTCATGTCTTAACAGCTGGTCTTGGTAGGATTTTAGAGGATGTTCGAACATGGGTTGACGTTCGAACGTTCTTGCTTTGTTCCAACCTTTTGCAATTTTATTTTCTATTGTGCTAGTGTTACATTCAAGTGTGATTTTTGTTGTTCTTAAGCCTTCATTCTCTTTAGGACATGAAATGTCATTACTTAAACTCCATCAAAGTATAATTAGTCCAAAAAGGCATAGTAAAAATTGTTAACTTTACGCACGAATCAATTATCAACAGGTGAAATCAAAAATGGGAGGGTTTAAGGAGATTAAAATGTCTTAGATTCCTAGGGATCACAACAGCCACGTCGATGCACTAGCATGCCTAGCCTTGGCCTTGACATTAGACATTATTTAAAGAATAACTGTAGAACACATGGATAGACCTAGTATAAATAACATTGATGCCAAGAACATACTTCCTATAGACGCTCGGGACATACCTCCAAGCTAGATGAACCCTATTGTCACGTACTTATTAACTAGGGAACTTCCTAGAGATGCCAAAGAAGTCAGGAAGATGAAACTCAAGGCTCCGAGATTATGGGTATCCCCCGACGAAAAACTATATCAAAAATCCTTATCGGGACCCTATCTACAGTGTATCCCTGAGGACAAGGTCGAGCCAATTTTGTACGAAATCCATGAAGGGATATGCAATAGTCACACGGGCAGAAGGTCTCTTTCACACCGAGCCATGTCTCAAGGGTATTAATGGTCATATATGTAGAGAGATACCAAGAAATATGTTCAAAAATGTGATAAGAGCCAAACCTTCCCATAATTCACCAGCCAACAGGTGACCTTAACTGACTGACAATTTTTTCTCAATGGGGTATAGACATAGTGGGCCTGCTACCGAGATCACCTTTGAATAATAAGTTTTTCGTAGTGGTTACGGATTACTTCACGAAATTGATTGAAGCTGAGTCACTTATTTCGCATTCGGGATGTTGACACCAAAAAAATTGTATGGCAAAATATTATTACCCAATTTGGGATTCCACAGTCCCTCGTGTCTGACAATGACACCCAGTTCAATAGTGGCTCATTCAGGGTATTTTGCTCAGGATTTGGGATCTGTAACTATTATTCCACCCCGACATACTCACAATGTAATGGGCAAGCAAAGGCCTTAAACAAAATGGTGTCGGCGAGGATCAATAAAAGGCTAGAAATGACAAAAGGCAGATGGACCGAGGAGTTACTCAATGTCTTGTGGGCATATAGAACCACTCCAAGAGCATCTACAAGAGAAACCCCTTACGCTATGGGGGTGGAAGCTGTCATACCCTAGGAAGTGGGGTTCCAGACCATACAAAGAGGAGATGAAGGAGCTAGCGACCTTACAATTGGCGAAGTATCAAGACAAATTATCTCGACAGCATCAAAGGAAGGTCTGAGTGAGGAACATTCAGGTGGGGGACCTGGTGTTAAGAAAGGTAGTGGGTGGCACTCAGGAGCCAACCGACGGAAATCTTGAATCTAATTAGGAGTCCATACAAAGTTATCACAATGGGAGACATAGGGTCATACTGACTTGAAGGCATGGAGGAAAAGATGTAGCTCGTCTGTAGAATATATCCAATTTGAAGAAATATTACTACTAAGCAAATCTTGCAATATGTATTATGTCAGGCAAAATTAACATGAGCCTGGAGCTCGGTCCTTGGGGTACGGCACCGAGAAGGGTAATCCTTCATAATTGGAGAACCACCCTTGAAAAAATTAACACGAGCCAGGAATTCAATTGTTTGGGGCAAGGCCCCGAGAGGGTTAAGCCTCCACAATTGGAACATCGTCCTCAAAATAATTAACACAAGCTTCGAGCTCGGTCGTTAGCGGTACGGCCCTGAGAAGGATAAGCCTCTGCAAATGGAGCACTACCCTCGAAAGAATTATTACGAGCCTTGAGCTTGGCCGTTTGGGGCATGACTCATAGAGTGGAAAGCCTCCATAAATGGAGTACCGCCCTCGAAAGAATTAACACGAGCCTAAAGCTTGGTTGTTGGGGCACGACCCTGAGAGAGGTAAGTCTCCACAATTGGAGCACCACCCTCAAAAGAACTAACATGAGCCTAGACCTCGGTCATTAGGGGCACGACCTTAAGAAGGGTAAGTCTCCACAAATAGAGCAATACCCTCGAAAGAATTAACACAGAGTCTCGAGCTTGGTCGTTAGAGGCATGACCTGGAGAGGGGTATGTCTTTGTGATTAGGTAAAGGCATTACCTGCAAAGTAGTTCAGAAATGGAAATTGGTTATTTAGGAAAGAAAAAGTTTGACTAAAACAAAATGCATTGAAAAAGTGGAGGCTTTGAGTCCTTTGGGCTTACAAAAAAAGAAAGGAGAAAGAAGGCCTACATAATAAGAGCAAGGTTAAGGAACACGGGTCATAGAAGCTTCATGCCTTGATGCCTCCTCTTTGGTCTCTGCTACTGCCGTCACCGCCTCGCCTCCTTTCGAATGAAACCTCGCCACCGAGGTCAGCAACCATATCTTCTAATTCTCTAAACTCATTGAAGTTTGGGTTAACCTCGGGGGTATCTAGGAGCGAAGGATCCTGAGGATGAAAGGGGAGAGAAGAAGAAAAGAGCCTGAGGGGGATATTTCATTATCATCCGAGTCCCCATCACTTAACGGGATGAGCTCATTTATAGCCACCATTCCCCCTCATAGGGACCTCCGTTTGCACCCCTTGTTGCCTTGTTGCACCTGCACCTGATTGGCCTTCTTGAGGGGGTGTAACCTTATTGACCACCTACTAGGGAACATATGAGTGCCTTGAAAAAGCTCAGAACTAGCATCCACCCCTATCGCTTGAAGTGTCTTACCCCATTATTTCTTGAAAGGTTTATTTTGACCATTTGTAAAAGTGGGATGAATTGATCCCGACACTTATTAAAGACCTCAATGCAGATGAATTGATCCAGATCGCTCTTCCTCTAACCTCTCGACCTTTGAAGTCAAGGCCACGCAGTACGCCTCCGCTTCCAGTAATTTAGTCTCAACCGCCAAAACTTTGAGCTCAGCCTCAACCATCCTCTTCTTTGACTCAGTCTCAGAAGCCTTATTTTTATCCATCTCAAAGAAGAGGCCTTCATCACGTCAGATGAGGTCGGTAATGTTCCTCGCTTGTTTGGCTACCGTTCTCTCCACCTGGCCGTTGTGACAGTCCTTCGCCTCCAGCTTAGACTGGGCTTGTTTAGCCTTGGTCAAATAGTCCCAGAAGTGATCAATGATGACCCCATCTATTCGCATGCTTAAAAAATATGTTCAAGTTGAGATGCCACAAAAAAGGAAGAAGGAAAGCAGAAGAACAAGGACTTTAATTACCACCAAATTATGTTGAATCACCCCCCTAGAGGAGGCGATTGTCAAAGTAGTCATTGTGGATGGCCATGGTGGCCTCAAAATGTAGGACCACATTGGTCGTCAGGGCTACATCAGCTGAGTGGATAACGAAGTCTGATAACAAAACTGCCTTGTCTTTTCTTATGACGGCACGGGGGCCCACTCCTCAATTTGGGTGAGATGAGGTGGGGTGTCGCATTGACGTTTCATCTGGCACTCAGTGATCGAGTCATCCTCATGCCCTTGGTGTTGCCCTTATCGACAACTGGATGGGTCAAAAGGAACCACTTGTCTGGAAGGGGGAGAAGGTTCTCGGTGTTATTGTTGCCGCTGTTGCTGCTATTGTTGTTGTTGTTGCTACTCCTGTTGTGGTCGCAATTGGAAGGGAGCAACAACCATGGTCCTAGAGGACCAACCAGGTCCAAAGGCAAGGTCCCTATTTGCCTTTACGACGACCTCTAAGTCCTCGGTTGTGATTTGGGAAAAATGGAGCATCTTAGATTCAAAAGGGGGAGGGGAGTTGGAAGTAGAGGGAGTGGCTTCAGAGTCTCTGTCAGGGTCACCATAAATGTTAGCCTTTTCTTCTTCTCCCAAGGAACGATCTAACCAGATGAAAGGGTTGAAGGGGCTCAGGAAGTTGGAAAAAATAGGTGTAGCTGGGTCGATACCCCAAAAGTATGTGCGCAGCCTAAGCAAAGGGGTTCTTCGGCTCAAGGGTCCAAACCTTCAGAGGTCACCAAAAGCAATAGAATATTATAGAGGCTGGATGACATCCCTCTTATAACCCTCTGCAAGAAAGAAAGAAGACAAATTAGTACCAGAATATCTCTCAAGAAGGGTGGGACACGGTGAAAACAGACACACTTGATCCCCTTGGTTCCTTGGGGAAGTAAAGGCCATCATATTCAAATCCTTCACCCGTCTCCCATCTACCATTAATTATGATGAGATCCCAAGTGTAGCCTTTGTCTGAGTTAAGCACGTGCGCCACCAAGTACATGGAAGGGTCCCAAGACTTGATGTAGTACTTCTCATTGTTGGCTATCTTTAAATCATAGCAAAAGAGGATTTCATCTACCCTAAGATCCATCCCTAGCTGAGCATTAAGGGTGACTACACTCATTATTATCCTTAATAGACTAATGCAACACTGGAAGGGGAAGAGTCTCAAGCGCATCGGGAGCTTTAAGAGAAGAGGAGCGAGGGGGAACCTAACTCATCCTTCCATAATGGCCTTGGTGTGGAAAAACATAGGATCATTAGCTTCGATCTCAATTTTGTGGAATATAGGGCTAAAGATGATGGTGAAAATGTCCTTGGGGATGCCATAAGTAGACCTATGACATCTAAATTGAACTCGATCACATGTGTCCTTCTTAAGCTTCTCTACTTTTTTGGGCCAACTAGTGGACCTAGGGGTTGTGGTTCTACGTATCCTAGCTATGGAAGTACTATGGAAGAAGGAGAGGAAGAAGATTTCAAAGGAAAGATACATATAGTCACTGTTAGCTTGTTTTCATCGAAGAACTGCTCGGAAGATCAAGGGCCTTAAGAGAATTGTGTGTTTGAAGAGTCTTTCACTTGCTGAAGTTTTTCCTATTTATGCCATTTTGTAGGTGAGGGTGGAAATCGAAGAGGCAAGACAATTGATTAGAATTCAACAACAAGCGACAAATGTGCAAGTAACCACCCCCAAAAATCAGGCGTGCTAAGGAAGCCTCCATTCTCCGTGTGACTCCTTTCCCATGATGTAGAGAAAATGGAGCCTAGGGGCAGTTGATGGGACATTGATGGCCAACCAATGAGAATCTGACACGTGGGCCATATGTAGTTGTCAAAACGTGTGCAATTCATCAAAAATATGATACCGAGCAAGTAAAGTACTCGGGTCCGATAAGTAAACTTGGGACTGAGCATTAAATAAGGTGTGACAAGTCATTAATGGGGATTGCGTTGGTGTGACAGGTCATTAATAATTGACTAATCCTCAAAGAATGTGAAAATAATTGTCATTACGTGGTAATACAGACATCTAGACTGAGGGGAGGGAGTCTTAGGAGCTCCCATGGGGGTCTAGTAGCTACTTATAAATGCTCGGTCGTAGGTTCTGTGCATTTGTTTAGAGCACTTAATGGTCAGGGGATGGAGCCATGAATGCTCGGCTTATTCTTAAGTGCGAATTCAAACACCCAATCACTCAACATTAATGTGGTGTGACGAAATGACACTTATTTTGCTAAATTATGAGCACAAGCTACTAAAGTATAGGATGAGACTCTGAATGGGAGAGACATTATTGCAATCTGAGGTATAAATGCCCCTCTAGAAGCAAAATAAAGGTACATAAGCTTAATTATGCATTTATTTATCTTTTGATATTTGAATTGTATTTTATTTTGTTATATCTATATAATAAAACACCTAGAAGATTGAATTTTTATCTCACACATATTTTTCCTCCTAAAATCATCTCATCACCCAATTTTATCATATGTTTATTCATTTAATATTTGATTAATTTGTAATTTAACATAATTATTATTTCATACATTATCTATACACAATAATGTACACGTGTTGAAAATTTTTTATGAAATTATAAATTTTTAGAAAATTTTGATGTTAATTTTTTAAATAATAATAGATAGAAATTAATTTTAAATGATGTAATCAAATAAATAAAAAATAAAAAAATTATTATTTAATATAATAAAATTAATTTTTTAAACTATCAAATTTTATGTTTTATTGTGTTTTAGACACGTGTTATAAATACTGAATATAAATTGAGAATCGAAAAAATCTTGTCGTGGGCAAAGACCAAAAACAAAAAAACAAAAGTCTTTCACTGTAAGAGAAACGTGGCACGCATTTATTTGTCGTAATACGTCACTCCTTTTCCACTAGCATTCGCGAGATTATCCAGCTTTTCGTCTTCATCGTGAAACCATAGCTTTCTCTCTCTTGAAAACCATGGCGTTGAGGTATGGTGGACGCAAGTTGTCCTTCGACGTACTCACCGCTAGCACCTTCTTTGAAGACGGCGACGACGATGAGACCCCCATCTACAGATCCAATTCAGGGCCTCCAATTCACCAAAATGGCGTCGCATCAAATCCTAACCGCCGAAAACGGAAGAAGAAAAAGAAGCAGCTGATGGAGTGTTCGATATCCGAAAATTCAGTCACCGATGGAGGCATCGAGGGGGTTATGGATGATTCTGTGAATCAGAGGGTTTTCGAGAACGGTAATTGTACGAAAGAATTGGAATTGGAATCGGATTGTAAGGGTTATAATTATAGTGTTTCCAGTGTTGTATGTGAGGAAGTGGTGATGGCGGAAGGGAGTGGTGGTGGAGAGATTGTGTGCACAGTGAGTTCGGTAAATGGACCGGAATTTGGAATTCGCATGGTTGGGAATTGAGGCAGAGGAGTGTTGCAAATGGAGGAGGAGGAGGAGGAGGAGGAGGGAATGAGGAAGCAGAAGTTTTGGATTCGCGGATTGATAAGAATGCGAAGGAAGAGGGTAGGAGTAGTAGCGGTCAGGAATTGGATTTGGCGATGGGGAAACAACGGGTGGAGCAGAATGGGGATGCTGGGAGGAGATTGGGAAAGGGAGAGTCGTTGGACTGGAAGAAATTTATGGAGGAAGATCCGAATTGTAAGTGAATAATCTCTTCTTGCGTCTCAGTTTTCAAAGTATTGATTTTTCGACATTGTCGGAATCTCCATGATATTATTGGTAAGATTGGTAGTTGTTTGAAAGAAATAACTTGTATAAATGAACAATTTCCTAACAATTTCCCCTTTGGCAATTCTATGATAAAATATAAGAATTAGAAATTCATTATTTATAATTGACTAATTCTATGAAGTCACAACTTGTAATGCTTTAACGCTCGGAAAGAAAAAACTTGTAATACTTCGCTGAATTTGAAATTATATATAAATCCCCATTTAAAGAAGATACTGTAGAAGATAATAATGAAGTTGAAATACATAAACATATTGTTGCTGCGGTTGATATTTGTTTGAAGGAAATGACTTGTAATTTGTAGTGCCTTACTGGATTTGGGATTATATAAATACTCCCTTCAGGAATAGGCATGCCTGCAAAACTTTTTTGTCCTGATACTGGTGAAAGTAGTCATATCTTACATGACATATTTTAAGCTTTCAAATATGTAGCTTAGTGTTGTTAAAAAATCATTTTACAGTTCTTGTAAACAAATGGTTTCCGGGGACACCTTCTATGGCCAGCATGTGTCCTTGGGTTGACTTGTTAGTTTGCCAGTTGAAAATGGTGTTGGTGATTCTACATTATTTATATGTTAGGGCTGAACTCGATGAGGCGAGTTATGTGGTTTTGAGATCAAATTAAGGAAACAGTGAATGCCTTGTAGAACAATTCTTGAGCATGAAAGGGTGGTTGGGAGTTTTGAAATTATTGAAGAACTGTGGAACATGTGAAACAAGGTTAAAAATGAGAGGAGAGAAAATACTTTTTCAAAATTTTTTAGATCTTGTGTAAGATCCATGTTGACAAATGCTTATCATTAATGTTTGTTCATAGTTGGCCTGTTTGGGATTCTAGACACACAGGATGAGTAACCTCTAAAAAGTACGAAAATTGCATTTGGATCAATTTCATATCCACGAATGGTAATGCTGATTGATCTTTTTGTTGGTTGTTGTAGGTGATTTATTTATACTCGAGTAATCCATTTACCATTGACATTCTTATGCATTTCCTAAACTCATCTCCTGTTTTCCTGGTCTCGCAAACACATTATTTTTCCATCACAGGCACCATAGTTGTCACGCTCCAAATTCTGAAGGTTGATACAGTGTAAATATGATAATTAGATTGCACTTTAGCACAAGCTATTGGAAAAGCAAACTTGGATTCGCAAGTTACATACTACATAGTGACTGAAAAACAGGTCATAGTGACACACTGTCTTCCATATATCAACCTCTAAATTGTACCATTGTACACAAGTCTCCTTGAAGTTACCACAGGACCACTTGAGTATATACATCTACATTTCACAGAGTTCTTATAGAAAAGCACTGCAGTTGCTCACCTGAAACAGCCCTTAAAATCCCATGAAATAACTAGATACCACTAAACACACATGATATGATACACATCACTGGTCAAGCAACAAGCTTTGAGATAACTCAGGAACTGGGTGGCTTCCTTCACCGCCATGCCTTTGACATGAAAATGTAACGAATGAGCTCATGCTCAATAAATCAAACTCATGTAACAATTCATATCATGATATCGAGCGAAAAATGAATGACAATGTACCATAAAAGCTAAAATTTTCGATACAAATGCATATCACTGGATTGATCTTTGTCTCTCAAATATCATGATCATTTGACATAATGATTGGTGCAACATAAAGAAGTATCTATAGTCTTTTGACCAAGGTCACGACAGCTACCTCGTTTTAGGTGCTTTAACAGTAGGGATATGAGTGACCCCATGTCCCAAGGGTGCTAAAAAAGAATCCCGGCAGAGTTTCTTTCATCAAAAGAGTCACAATCCCTGTGTATATAGTTCACCACGGTTCCACAAGCAAGCATACACACTCATTTGCCACATATTGTCAACACTATGTTTCAAGAAGATTGAATAACAACACAATGCATAATCATTTCAATTTATCTCTTTGTAACTCTTTTCTTTTTTAAAACTCGTCATATTATGTCCTTCGGAACTCGATCATATGCCTACTCTAAATCTATAAATAGCATATGAAGATTGTTTTTTTTCTCCATAACCCTCCATTAGTCTACTAAGTATATAGTTTTAGTTGTTGATCTCCCAAGCAGAAATCCAAATTGATTCTCTGATGCCATTGTTTCAAGTCTTAGTCATTGCTTGATCACTGGCCCCCAAACTGTCATTGTATGGCTGATTAAATTAGTATCTTGATAATTTGTGCAACTCTTGATGTCCCATTTGTTTTTATGTAAGTACTAAAACAGTATTCCTCCACTCATCTATCATCTTCTTAGTTGTTATAATCTTATTAAGTAGTTTAGTTAAGCACGATACCCCTACATCTTCTATACACTTTCAAACCTCAACCGGTACACCATGTGGTCCTAAGGTTTTTTTGTTGATGCATTATTTACTTCAAACACATCAATTCTAAGAAAAAACTTATTTTCGCTAGTCTCACTTTGATTTTTGTATTGTCCAACCTCTGAGTTTCCTATATGATCCTCATTTAATAATTTCTCAAAATAAGTTTTTCCGCTTTCCTTAATTTCCTCATTTTTTTATCAGCACTCTAAATCCTTATTTAAGATATACTATGTGGTTAACATGCTTAGTTTTTCTTTCTCTTAAGCAAGTCTATATATATTTCTCTCTCCATCCGTTGTATCTAGCTTCAAATAAAAATCGCATATACTTTATACTTGATTTTTTGTTACTGTTTTTTTAACTTCTTTATTTAGAAGCTTTTATTGTTTGATAGTTTCTTTGATTCTAGAAGCTGCTTTTTTTTTTTATTGCAATGGTCATACCCTTGTTTCCTCTACAGAAGTTAGCTTTAGGAGTGCTAAAATGTGATTTTTATTATACTGATTATAGAATGATTTTTTTCCTGGGATTTTGTGATCAAGGACAAATTTAGATTGGAATATTGTCATACTATATTTAATTTCAGGTCCATTTTCCGTTGATTTGTTCACTGTAAATTGCAATTGTAAAAAATCCAATATCTTTTCTTTCTTCCTGCACTATGTCAGACACATTTTCTGTGGAGAAGTTACCTGTGAAATACTTCATGGAAGAGATGCATGGTGGAAATTCATTACGGAGGACTACGACTCTAGGGAATGAGAAAGAACGAGAAAGAGTGTACGATACGATATTTCGCTTGCCATGGCGATGTGAACTGGTGAAGTGGCTGTCCTATCACAACTTTATGAAGCATTACATACTTTTGAGTCATATACTTGTTCGTTGTCACAAATATCCATTTTTCTTTTTGTTTTGGTGTTAGATATATGTATGCATGTTTTTGTGTCTCAGGATGTAGTTTTTTGGTCCTACATTGCTATACAGAGATTGAGGGCTGGACCTCACCTTTTGCTCAAAGTGTCCTTTTTTTCGCTTTAGCACTTGAATAAAAAAAAAGAGGTGTCCTTTTTCTCTCCTCCAAGTATTAGAGAGCTTTTGAAGTTTGAAAGGGGAATCCATATATAATATATTGTACTGGCTGTCTAGTTTATGAATTGAATTGATTTACACAAAATAATTTCTTTATGACAGATTCTTAAGGATGACAATGCTTTTGCAGCTTATAGATGTTGGCTACTTCGTCTGTTTCGATTCGTTTCTGTCACTGTTGACTATGATGCCAACAAGGATTCTTATGACCTTTTGGAGGCTTCTTAAAACAAGGTTTGTTTCTTGTTTATTTAAATAATTCTTTCATGGAATATAGTAGTAGTAGGATATCACATGCCAGGGTATTACTTTTTGACCCTCTAACTGCATTTGACCATAAAAAATGTTTTATTAAAGGTTGCTTTTTTTGTCATTTGCATACTCTTCGATTAATATGCATTGGATATTTTTTTCCCTGCTTTACCATTGAAACCTAATTGTGGAACTGGTCTAATGTGGACTGTTCTGATCAACTATCATGAATTGGAGACGTTTTTCTTGCACAGATAGTAGTAAGCTTTTAGAACCTGATGTTCTTAGTTTTAATATTTTGGAGAAGTGCTTGGGCAAAAGCAAAGATGTGGATTTTTTCTTCCTGCTACTGCACAGGAAGATATTATTTGTTCTATCATTCTCCTCACAGCACTTTCTTGTGTCATTTGACATTATAGTAAATGCCACATCCTTAAAAAGGAGATTGTAGCATGTAAAATTTCCAATTTGTTAGCAGGATTACAGGACCGAGGAGGAGCCTGGAAAATAAAGATAGAGAGTGAAACTTCATCAGTTCAATGTAGCACCTCATACATGAATAAGATTCCAATTCTGATTTAATTTATTATTTTCTCAGAAAACCAACAAGAAACTTTGTGGTCCTAGTGCTCTGTTAGGTAGCAGTGAGGAGCATTGGTGGAGTGATTTACTTCTCAGAACAAGAGATGTTATTGTACTTGAGTTTTATTTCCTTGAAACGTAGATGTATCGAAAACAAATTGGATGCTTTACGCTAGTTTGAATTCAAGTCTACCATTTTATTTGTCATTCCCTTAGAAATCATAGTCACATAAGCTCCATACTTTGCTCTCTGCTTTATTTTATTGACTAAGTTAATCTCAAGATAAAGCCAGGAGTCAGCTAAAATATCAAAAAAGCTCATGTCAAATTACAAAGAAGAAATTTGTGCAAAGGCTTCTAATTCTGCGAATTGTGCCAGTTCCCATTTTTATTTGCCTGCTACTTGTTTCATGGCTTTTATTTGAGCTGCAGACCCCACTCTATCAGGCCTGCCTTTCTTTTTTCTAAAAGAAAAGGGACATATGAACAGGAGATTAATAGGTTATATGCTCTTACCAAGAAAGCTAAAGAAAATGGATGGTTATAAAAATTAATAATGAATTTGCTCAAGATGAGAAGTGCATTACACTCTTGTTGATTCTTCTGCAAAAGTTAAACTTTCATTTTGTTTTCTATTTGGATGGTTAAGTGTAATGCAAAAGCTCAAGCAGTCAAGCAATATGAACCTGAAGATGAGGGATGCTGGTAGACTAATGTTGCCCAATAAAAACCAGCTTTTAAATTTCAAGAGACCCATTTAAATCCAGCACATGGGCATAATATAATTTCCTGCAGTGGATTTGTCCTTTCAATTGATTCTGTTATTATTATTCGGACTTTACACTGTGGTGTTCTGGGGATTTTAACTTATGAGTTAATTAAGAAAGATGTTCCCAACCTATGACTCCTTGTTAACACATTCTCCATCGCCCCCCCCAACCCAACCCAACACACATACGCACAAAATATAAAGAAAAAGGCATGCCAGAAGAGGGTGCTCAGCCATTGACTACAACGCTGAGGAGGGAACCTAGTATGGGGTGCTTTCAGAGCCAAACATGAAGATGAAACAAAATATGTTTGTGCTTTTGTAGAGACAATGGTAGACCTGTAACATAGACCTAGTACTCTCCTAAGCAGTCCAGAAAAAGTCATGTAGGTGCTGCTTTTGAAGGGTTCAAAAGTAGAATGTGGTCCAAAACGAGCTAACGCGAGTTTTCGAATGAAGGTTTTCCCCTTTGTGAACATCACTAAGATAGGCTTTTCCCCGAACCATTGACCGGGAGGGAGAAGTTGATTCATTCAATGAAGCTTTATTGGTTTGATCTAGTAAGGGGGTGTTAGAAATAAACCACCGCCCGGCAAAACAACGGTTTACAAAAGAGCGACCTGGGACATCGAGCCAAGAGCCCCAATGCACGTATTCGGAGCTACCCAGATGCCGGGAGGCAAAGAAGTAGTAGAAAATGTTGAAGAGGATACAACCCACTCTTGGACTTAAGAATATGCGCGTCGCGTGCTTGATCTAGCAATCTTGGACAATTCTTTTGATGAACTGTCACTAAACTAAAAAAGAAGGAAGAGAAAGAACTGGGATTTATGTAGGCTTGCTTGCTTAACAAGCTATTCGTCCTTTCAAACAAGACTACGTTGCCAATAAAAAATCCTTCTTCTAATAATGAGAAATTATGGATAAATTATCAGACTGGTGTGATAAGATCGTGAAAAGGTGTTAATAAATCAGGGAAGTGGAATTGAAGACAATGGGAAGCCAGTGCTATAATGGCTCTATGGCCAGGGTGCCCACATGACATCTGTGAGGGAGGTTTGGAGGTGTGGGTTCAAATCTTCTTCGTTGTCATCTAAAGAGGTTGGAATGGTTGAAAGGTTGAATGCAAACTTCTAAAGACTCTTGAACACAAGGAAAGCAGATAGAACATGTGGAGTATCTTATCAAGCCAATATGAAACTGATGTAGGTGAAAAGATCGAAGAATCGAAGAAATTGAAAATAGAGAAGTGGAAGAGGAAGAGCATGAACTGGGCTACTGGACATGATTTTTCCAGGTGATTGCCAAACTTTATAGAAGCCGATGGGTTCTATTCATGGTTGGAGCGTGTTTCTGTTAAATATTTCAAGTAGAAAATGTTTTCAGGGAAAGACCGTACAGGCATAACAAAAAAGGAGAAAATAAAACCTGCATATTGCTTAGATGTATTGTGCCCTACAGGAAATTGGCTTGAAAGAAAGGCAGAAAATAGTCCTGTGCTAAGCATTTGACCACGTAGTTTGTCACCTCTGCATATGCATGTGACTGGAAACCAGTCCTGAAGGGAAAGTGTGGAAAGTTAGCTGAAACTATGAACATAAATCCCACATTGTGTTCCATGTTAGATTGTCATGGGATCTTTAAAAGCTGGCAATTTTTCCAATAGTTATTTTCTAGATTTCTTTATACTACTGTTTATTAGAGGACCAGTTGCGCTAATCTGTTCCGGTTTTGGGCTTCAAGTAGGAAGAATTTTTTTTCTAGTTTTATTTCATTTTTTTTTTTGTCTTTTGCAAAATGCATTTTGGAGGAAAAAGGAAGAACTAGAGCCTCTACATTTAAAGGACTGCTTTAAAATCAGGAGCCTGCTTTCACTTGCCGATTTCACTTTTTTTTTTTATTATTTTTTCTTGTGGTTGTCTCTGTGTGCATCTGCACTTGTACTTTGAGTTTTGGTAATTTGTAGTATTACAAAATAACCTAAACCAAGGTTATGGCAGGCAGTTCCAGAGGCTTTCAGCTGCAGAGCTGTCTGATTTTGGCTGTTTTATTGTGCTTGCTGCTGGAGTCACTCTTTTACAACTAACAGGTCCATCAACGAATTTGACCTTTTCAGTTTTACAACTTACAATTTCCTACCACCATAGGATATAGTAGCCTGCTTTGTTTTGTATGAAGACATGAATTTGTTAATTAGGTTTGGTGGTATGTTAACCTTATATTCTCTGTGTTTTGCTGCCTCAGATATCAGCCTGATATATCACATGATTCGTGGTCAAGGCACAATCAAACTATATGTGGTGTACAATGTGCTGGAGGTAAGAAAATAAATTGCTGGCTCTTGAAGGATGGACATGCCCAAAAGTTTATAGAATTTTCTGACTACAGAGTTGAAATTTTATTCTCAACTCAGATACATTACGCCATTGATGGAAGATGTTGCTATCCATGAAAAAGTATATGAATAACTATTGTTTATGCATTTAATGAAAGAATGACAGAGATGGCTTGCATTAAGACTTCCTTACTTCCGTTAGGGTTGTGTCCTCCAATGCAACATATGTAATGAAAATACTGGTCTTCTTATCTCTCTTTTTGTTATTGCTTCTCTGTCCGCATTCGCGTGCATTTACTTAACTCTTTTCTTTACATTTTTTTTTGTTTAATCTATGCAGTTTGACTAACTCAATATGTTGTTAAAGCTATTGTTTTACTATCTTTTAGTTTTTATACAAGTAAAATGGTCTTCATGATACCCCTATATATGCATATAATGGGATAGATTCTATCACAAGCTATTTCTTTCCACCATGAAGTGTCCAAATAAATTATTAGAAATGTTGTTTTAAAAAGTATTTTTCTAAAGTTGGATTGGATATAATGGATAGATTCTATCACAAGCTATTTCTTTTCACTATGAAGTGTTCAATAAATCATTAGAAATGTTGTTTTAAAAAGTACTTTTCTAAAGTTGGATTCAAAATATAGATATAAAGGAAACAAACTAATTCTAATCAAAGTTGAAATGTGGAAGAAACTCATAACGAATCGAAAATTAATACAGATTCAACTTAGGGCACCTTCATTACAAAGAGGGTCAACTTTGCCTCTAGTTTACGATTTTTTAAATGCAGTTCGAAACTCGCTTGTGTGATCAAGTCAATAACAAAGTTAACCGTGGCAAATTGCCTCTTTCACATGAAATTTTTTGAACCAAACATTCTGAATTTTATTTTTGGGGCAGCTTTTTGGGAACTAGTTGACCATAAAATTGTGGTTTAGCATTGAAAAGACATAATTCTAGACCAAAGAGAGGAATCGAAAAATGAGGCTAAGAGAGTGGAGGCCTTGAAACATTTAAGCACTGCGATTTTGTTGCTAGTTTAACACCAGTATTTTGTTTAACTTAATTTTACGGGTATATAACTATACTATACCTACACATTACATAATTTTTTTTGAAATTGCTACTTTCCCGGTCCCTCTCTTGCATCTACTATGCACACTATTATCCTAAGATTTGAGCCTTACATGGATCACTCTCACTTGGAAATTATGCAATTGTTAATTTATATCGTTGAGGTGTAGCTGGATAGAAAGTTGGGAACACACAATTGTAATATACACATTCCCAAAAAAAAAAAAAAAAAAGAATAATAGAACATGGGCGTAATGAAATTTGTTCCTATGTTTAATGATAAAGACATGAGAATTTTCCCACGGCTTCACAAGCCAGGTCCTAGAAGATGGTTTTTTTTTCCCTCTGTAAATGGTTTCCATGATATATGTTTCATCATAACAATCGACCCATAATATTGAGTTCTGCTCAATGTTACCTAGACCGTGAATCGATTTAGTACGTGGTATAGGTATGAGTGTGTGGTACGCTACATCTTCTGATATGCGGTGCGACGAGGTAGGTTTAGTTGGTACACCGATTTGGGTCATGACTCGTTTTCTATAGGATTGCTTTTGCGATTATATATAATTATATATTCATATATAGTTAACTAGTATTTATTTTGGGGTCGAAAATTTAAGCGATTTAGATTGCGAACCAACCCCATTTCGGGTAGTGCAACCACAGTTTGTGGGACGATAAAATCTCGGTATCCATGGACTTCTGCTTTCGAAGTGCTCTGGAAACTCTTAATATGGTAATGATTATGACCGAATTTTGTCAACATTACAATCCTACACTTTGGAATTTATGGGCTATAGGGTAATGTCATTTTTTCAATCCTTTCTTGTTACTACGCCTTCGGTTGGGTCTTGTAAAGAGGTTGGGAAAGTAAGATGATAAAAAATGCCTTCCTTCCTAGGTTCTCTTAACATTGACCTTTGTTTCCAACTTTTCTATATCTGAAAAAAACCTAAGGAAGAATTATTAGCAATATATTTGTATTTTTGATGAGGAAGCCGACAAAAATCAAGGCAACCAATGATTAATGACAGAGGATGCAAGTCCAAGTCAGTCCTCGAGGGGTGAATGAGTATACTATTACTTTGAATTTGCAAAAGCCCTTGCCACCAGCAGAGACACTAGTCTCCTGCTTATGTTACGAAGCAGAGAAAAGCAGTCCTTGAGGGCTAAAAGGATTTGACCCAGTATCATTCTTGGTTTACTCAGTTGACACTGTTGTGTAATTGTATCCATGGATGCCATGACCACATCTGCTGTTGTCAAAATAGTGACGTCTAAAATGGAAGAGTGTTGTGTTATACTAAGCTATATTAGTGGTTTGTTAATTTTAGGAATGATCATAGCTTTGTAAAATTCTGATTGATGTCAAAAATATAGGGTCTGTTTGGTTAGATTCTTCAACACTATTTTTTTGTACTCAAAACTATAAAAAAAATGAAACAATGTTTGGTTTGAATTTTTTTTCTTCAATTTTATGAAAAAAGTGGGAATTGAAGCATAAAAATAGAAAACAAGCCCAACTTGTTTTCAAGTCATTTTTGCGAAAATTTTGGAAACACGGAGACAAACCTCTTTAATGAGGTCTGCCTTTTGAGTCCCTTTAGCAGCAAAAGGCATCCTTTATTTTTTTCCCCTTCCTCTCTCTCTCCACTTTGTCCATCAAACAGAACGAACACCACAAAGGAAGCTTAAGTGTCTTCTCTCTCTCTCTCCGGCGTCTTCTTCTTCACCACAGTGGAAGCTTTAGATCTGCCCCTCTCTTTCGCAACAACTAAAAATTCAGATTTGTATGCGTTTGTGTATGTGTGTGTGTGTGTGTGTATGTGTGTGCGTGTGTGTGTTTTGTGGAGACAGAGAGAGGGGAAAGAAAGATAGAGGTGGGAATTGTCTGTGTGTGCGCGCGTGTGAGTGTGTTTTGTGGAGAGAGAGAGGGGAAATAAAGAGAGAGGTGGGAATTGTGGATTATTGTCCAAACAGATTTTATAATTTTTGTTCTTTAAAACTATTTTCAAAAATATATAACCAAATATGTTTTGTAATCTAAAAATTTTAAAAACACTTTCTTAAAATTCTTCCCAAAAATAGTTTTTGGATACTGTTTTTTGAGATGCAAATCAAACAGACCCATTCTCTTTCCTGCCAACGTTGATTTTAGAACAAACATAAAAAAGATGCCCATAACAAATAAAGTCTTTGGTTGGAAGAAGAAATAAAAAAATATGTTACGAAGATCGAGGTCTAGCAAATTAAGGGTAAATTATATTCTCTCCTGTAGAAAAAACTACAAGACAGCAAAGACCATGCAATACCTCACTACAACTATATATTTTAGGGATGATCTTTTATGTCTTTTTTTTTCTCTTGCACATAATCCATATGCCAAGGAAAGACTCGTGTCTGTTGAGGCTTAACTGCTTAAGTCATTAAATAAGTACATTCTACTCATATTGAAATTTAAACTTTTTATAATGGCTTGTTCAGCCAATTTGTTCAACCAGAAATCTTTTATGTTGATGTGGCACCAAGTAATTTGGAAAGTAACACATCGAATCCACTAAAATAGTTGCAAAAAATATCAGAAAGAAACATGCTAATAAATGCCTAAGCTATCAGAAAGTTGTTATCCTCATGTTTAGTGCCTTCTTCTCTATGTTTATTCATTGTTTTCAACAAAGTGCTGTGTTCTTTAAGTTATTGTTATTTTCATGTTCTTGAGACTGATAGGCTGGTCTACCATTGTAATTTAGATTGGGCCTAGTTGACCTATGTTTAATGGGCATGGGTTCTTTTCAAGTATCAGTTGTGAATCGTATTTTTCTTTGTATTTGTTTGTCTTTGTTAAACGTCATACTGTGATTGATATTATATAAACTGATGTTTGCTCCTTGGTGACAGATATTCGATAAACTATGCCAAAGTTTTGGTGGAGATGTAATGCAAACCCTATTTAACTCAGCTGAGGGACTTGCAGATTCCTCACCAGAAAACATGAGATATTGGCTATGGAGATTTATTTCAGATGAAGCATTAGCTATGGCTTCATCAAATATCCTTATGTAGCAATAGTTTTGTTCTTGTCTGTGCTAGAGTATCTACTCAACCTGTTTTCATTTTGGCACCTTAACTCTTCATACTTTTGCATTCATTCATCTTATTGGCTCAGGCAATTACCTTGTCAACCTGTATAGTTGCTCACAATAATGCGTTGCTGGCTTTGCTAGTATCAAACAATTTTGCTGAGATAAAAAGCAACGTGTTTAAACGTTTTAGTAAGGAGAACATTCACAGTATGGTATATTATGGTTAGTTATCTTCTCCCTATTAGTTCATTATTTGTTGGAAGACTTACTAATGCTATTCTTTGCATTGTTGTGACACCTAAAATTTTGATTGCTTCCTGACACCTGACAGGGACCCTTTCCCTTAACATTGCTGAATTGACCTGTTTCATCCTGCTCATTATGTCATTTGTACTCATATGATCTCGATATGGCATTCCAGATGAAGAACAAACAAAGAAAGTGATATGAATTGAACATCATGCATATACATCCTTATGCTAGTGGCTTGTTAGCTGTCTAAGTGAGATATTGGATGCATGGGAGATTGCAGGTCATAATAATGTCTGATAGGTTATCTGAATTTTAAAAATTGACTAGAGTGTTCTAAAAAGGTCTTCTTGGGTGATTCTTCCCCCCTCACCCCTTTTGCTCCTCTCTCTCTCTCCCCCTCCATATATATTGTCATTATCATTAAGATAACAAAAAGTCTGACGCTAATGGATCCACACATGTTGATTAGTATTTCAATGTATAAGTCCTAGGAAGCACGGATACGGACATGAGTATCGTATCTGATACGATATGGATATGGGGATACAACAAAGTTTAGGACACAGGTACAGTGAGGATACGTCAATTAAAATAATATAATATATTTTTTAAATAATAATAGAGTTGTAATATATTAAAATAAAGCATATACTATAACAATATTAATAATAAGACCTAGTAAATGTTAATTTTTTGATTAAAATTGAAATAGATCAAAATAGATATCAATTATTTTCATCAAACATAATTCCATCCATTGACATTCATAGTATAGAAGTTACAAAACAAAAATTATTTAAAAAAAACAGAAATAACACCTCTTTTAATAGTCAACAATTGTTTTTTTTCAAAAAAAAAAATACCTTGTCGTATCCTGGACGTATCTTGATTGTGTCTTAGACGTATCCTGATCGTGTCCTAGCCGTGTTCGACTAGATTCACTATTTAAGACACTTCTGGCCATGTCTGGCACGAGTTCGGCCGTGTGTGGCACGTGTCTGACGTGCCACGACACCCTTCTGGGAAGTATCCGTGCATCCTTGGATGAGATGTTAGCAAATTTCTTAGTCTTTGTGGTTGGGACAAGGTGTGGTTGGTTTGAGTTTTGTTGGGTGTAATTATCATATTAGTCTCTAACATTTTGTTCTCAATGTTACCGTGTGGCCTGTGAAATTGAATTTCTGCTTGTAATTATTTTTAGTTATAATCTCTCATGTGTGCAATTAATTCCATTTGATTTCACATTGATGTATATATTTTCATTGCTAATGACCAGATTCAGTGGAGAGGTTCCATATTTCAGCATTTATCTTATTCGTTTTAGCTCAAAACATTCTGGAGGCTGAGGGCCCTTGGTTTGAAAGCTTCCTCTTTGTAAGTTCACATGATCTTTGAAAACACAGTGATTTTGAAGAGATACAATAAAAGATTGAAAATAGAAAGTAACTGGTTTCAATTATATGTCTCGTCATTTTCTTATATATTTTGTTTGTGTGTCACAGAATGCTCTTCTTGTTTATGTATGTGAGATGATGATTGACATAATCAAACATTCATTTATTGCTAAATTCAACGACATAAAGCCTATTGCATTTTCTGAATTCCTTGAAGACCTCTGCAAACAGGTATAAGTTTCTGGTTCTGTCATTTCTCTTTATAAATTTACCCTCAAGTTCTTTCGCAGGCTGTACCATGTCTTTATTATTGTGGATTCACATTTATCTTTCCTAAAGTGATTAACATATTCAGTTCTCCTGTTGTCTTTCATGTTCACTCCTGCATTTAGGCGTCGTCCTCTGAATTCCCTGTGTAGGTCATAGATTTCCTTGAAAAGGCTATACACCAAAATTGGCCATTCATTTGGTTATTTTGCAAATATAATAATTTTATTTGCAGACTTGTATTCTACATCTACATTCTTGCAATGTGGCATGCTTGAATTGGGTGGTCATTACTTGGACACAGCAGTAGTGCAGTTATTTTGTGCGTATATATATCTCCCTGTGCGTATGAATTGGGATATGCCATAAACATGCCTCATTCTGGAGCTTTTGTATCGATTCACTTGTGTATTCAGGTGGCTCTTTACTTTTCTGTGTTGATCTGCCTATACTCATCTACATTGGGTCACATCGTAGTTTCTTTGACGTTCACCTGTCATTAAGGCTACCAAAAGAATTGATTTTCTTGTTATTAAAGCTTGTTTGACCTCGTTCCTAAGTAATATCAAAGATCTAGCTTCAAGATCATTTACTTAAGAGGTCTGACTAATTCCAGTTCGACTTGAGTAGGCCTATGAACATTCCACGTACGGTTGACTTGGTTGTAGTAACCAAATGGCTTGTGCAAGTTATTGATAGGTGACACATTTTACAAGGCAAATAGTAATGTGACTAAATTACGTTTTGATAATTAAAGTCAATACTCCCTGTTTATGACATGCATTTTTAACTTACAATTTACAAATCATCAAAGGTAGAGTCATAAATATTTTCTTGTGTGGGCACTCTTGGTCGGTTGTTTAACTACATGTCTTAGTTTCTGTCCTAATCCCAATTGATGAATCTACTTAAATTTATTTACATCATAATTTATACTAAAACATTCATTAAACACAAGGGGCTAAAGCTGGTATACGTAAACAAAAAAATAAATCAAAAAGAGGCCAATTACAACCCGTTACAAGGAGAGCAATGCTATTGAAACCTAAAAATTTAATCTAATTTGTTGATCTGATGATGAAAAGATGACATAGTCTAATATATTTATTGTAACAACTGTTAAATTGTCTTCATCAGGACCACATCACTTAGCACATCATTAGGTATTTTTAGGTCCAATTATTAACTTCAAAAAATGACACTAATTACAACTACTACAAATTATCCTTATAAGTTTTTCATATTTTGAAAACATTTTGTGATAACTCATTATAAATGCTATAAAAAAAAATAAAAAAGACTTCCTCTATATTAAAAATCAAGCTCTCACATGTAACTTTGATTTTTATACTGTAACAAAAGGATCCCATAACTTTTATTGGAAAATTATAAAATAAAACTTGAGATCTCCACAATTATTTTGGATGTGTCCAAAAATTTATAATCCTTTGGGTATGAGCCTATACAAAGTGATAGTATAAAAAATATAAGTTGAGCACAACTAAATTTGTTTACACTAAAGAATAGTTTTTTTTTGAACTATATGAAAGAATGGTTGAAATATATATAGATATTGTTTTTCAAAAAATTCTAGGGTGGGCCAGTGTCCCCTGGATACTTACTGGTGGAGCCAGGCAAACCATAATATCTATTAATCAGCCATGGCACAGAGACAAAAATATAACCAGGTATGGCCTCTGTGTAAGTGTGCGTGTACGTCCATATCTGTTATGTTTGGTTACACATAGTTATAATAGCTTTCTTTGGAATCTATTTCTTTGATAATATGGACAACTCCTTTGCATGTTAAATACTGTCAGGGCCGGCTCAATAGAAATTGGGGTATTAAGCAAAAATTTTAACCAAGGACCTTTGAAAATTTAATTTTAATCAAGGCTCTTTGAAAATTTAATTATCAGTAATGTTCTATAAGTAATTCATGCATTTAGAAAAAATATTGCTTATTTAGTAGTTTAGTGTTTCAATTGGTTTATTTCTGTGGTTTGTTTATTAAAATTCTTCTAAGACATTATTTGTTTTTAAATATATAATCTAAAAAACTTGGCATGTTTTTTAACAAGTTCTCAGATTATGATAATTCCCAAGTTATTTGAGATTAAATTAAATTATGTTCATGTAAATTAAAGTAAAAACTATCAATTAAAAATATTCATTACTACCGTCAATGAGCTAATATTAGCCGCATATGGGTTTCCACATTTAGTTAAATTTAGACATAGGGAGGCATTACATTCATTACTTTTTTCCGGTTGTTTGCCTACAGTGGTTTTTGGATGTTGTATTTTTCTTATTTATGCTTGTAGTGGAAGAATGGCATTAATTGCGAGAGAGAGAGAGAGAGTTGCACCGTTGGTATATAGTTCCAAATTACATTTTACTCCACTTCTTTTGGGACTTTATTTTTTCATTGGGGCCCTTCTCAGTAGGGGGGCCTTAAGTGGCCCTTTCAGTGGCTTTGCTTATGGCTGGCCCTGAATACTGTCAAGCTTTTTAGTGAGGTTTATGTAAATTACTTGTTTAGGGTGGGATTTTGTCGTCATTAATCAGAGGCCAATGGACATCCGACTTTACAAGGAATCATTCTCCTCTTGCCAAGGTCTGGGTTCAAGCCTCCCTGATTATGTAAATATGTTTTTGCCATTATCAAAAACAAAAAATAGTGGAAAGAATAACAATAAAATTAAAGAATTCTCTGATCAATGTTTGACCATCTAGATGACTTGGAACCATGATACGGTTCTTAGAAGTTCTAAGACGTTTTATTTTATTTTTGTCGTGGAGAAGTCCAAATCAGATAATTCTTTGTTCTGGTTCATTTGTATTAAGAGATTGATGAGTTTATATTGCGTGAAAAAAAAAAAAAAATTGTGTGCATTCCCTGTTAAATATAAAGGTTAACCAAGGGAGCTGTGAAATGATGTAAGTACATCTCCAATCTATTCCAGTAACCCATTGTAGAGAGACTGGATTATCTTGTTGTAGGGACATGAACCCAGGGAGTACGTATCAAATTCTGTTTAGATTGCTTGTTTGGCTCTTAGTTATGTTTTCCTGTAATTTTGTATCCAGTGACGCCCATTATGATCCAGTGAGTCTCAATTACAGCTATATTGTCTGGTTGTCTTGATTTTTAGAATTAAGACGGCATCCTCTTTCATGGTATTTCCTTTGCTTCCACATTGTTCATCTTATTAGCCAGTACAATATCATGCAAAATTTATAATTTGTGTTTTTTTCTAATTTATTTACTTTGAACAGACCCTGAATATTCAAACAGAGAATGGGAAGAAAAACCTCACTTTTATTCCTTTGGCTCCAGCTTGTGTGGTAAGCATAAATTTCTTTGTTTAAAACTTGCTGCCCTCCCAAACCTGCAACACATACACATGTAGCAATCATACCCATCCAAAAGTAAAGCAAGCATGTAGATGAAATTACCCTTTATTGTAAATATGAATCAAGTCTATGAGGGTGAATGCTCAGAATCAGTTCATTTTATGTGTATTCACCATTTTTAATTTGATATTGAAACTTATTGGAGCAAGTAATTTTTCTTTTTGCATTTCAGGTAGTTCGGGTACTGCGTCCAGTTTTTGCTGCCCATCTCCCCTACGGTTCCCTTCCCTGGAGGTTCTTCGGGATTTTCTTCCTGTCTGCCACGACCTTTGTGATGCTTGCAAGCCTGAAAGTGATGGTTGGCATGGGCCTTAAAAAACACGCTACTTGGTATGTCCATAGGTGCCGGAAGAGAAAACTTCACTCTGACTAACAAATTATTTGCGGAAGGTATGCCGAGAGGGAGGCTAAATATTCACATCGCTGCAACTGGCTATAAGATTGGCTGTTAAGTAGCAGAACTTGGTTTCATGTCTACCACTACCAGCAGGCGATCAACTGTTGGTGTATCTGTTCCATAAGTCGGAGCTTCCTCCCAATTTTGTAATGGAAAGAGGCCACCTAAAGTTTCCGAAATATCCAGTGAGAACTTACAAGGCTCCATGTTGTTAAATACAAACTTTTCTCTCTCTTGTCCGATGTTTTCAGGAATGCGCAAATGTTAACGAGTCATACATATACAAGCCATAATCGCTAGTCATAAGCACTGATTAGTTTTGGCCATAATAGCTGGTGATAAGATCCTAAGTTTGTACTTAGACCTTGTTGTAAATATATTCATTAATAAATTAGACACAGGTTCGCTAAAGTTTGTAAACATATATTATTTAGATTTTTTAAGTTTAAAATGTTGTACTTAGATAAAAAATATTTTAATTAAAGATTAAATATTAAATATTTTAAATTTTATAATTAAAATTTATATTTTATTGTATCATTTTTTAAAATAAAATTAAAAATAAAAATTTAATTTTTTCTTAAAAAATTGTAATTAATATACAATTATATAGTTTATTGGAATTTAATTTAGTCGTTTAAATGATCAAATTAAAATATCAAATTATTTCAATTAAAGTTAAAAGATATTTTGTCTATTATAATTTGATTCTTTGTTTAATTTTTTAGTTTTATTTTAATAGATAATATAATTATATATTAACTATGATTTTTAAAAAAAATTATATTTATATTTATAATTTTATTTTAATAAATGATATAATAAAACATAAATTTTGGATGTAAATTTTATATTCTATTACGAACGATTTAGACCTTTTGTTTGATTTTTTAGTTTTATTCAAATAAATAGTATAATTGTATATTAATTACGATTTTTTAAGAAAAAAAAAATTAAAATTTTTTAATTTTAATAATTGACAATAAAACATAAATTTTAGTTGTAAAATTTAAAATATTTGATATTCTATATTTGATTAGAGTATTTTTAGTTTAAGTATAATATTTTAAACTTAAAAGATTTAAGTAATATATATTTATAAACTTTAGGAGGGTCTAAGTATAATTTATTAACAAATATATTAACAAAGTGTTATATGCGATACAAAAAAGCTCAGGAAGTCAGTCATAACGGAAGCGAAGGAAAGCTGGACAACCGGTGGATTTAAAAATACCCCCTGTTCCCGGTGATGCAATGGTCAAAATCCTTCCGGGGGAACGATAATAAGGACAGGACAGGACGGGAATAAAAAGATATTTATTACTTAATAATGTAAGTTAAATGCAGAGATTATTATAAACAGAGGGACCTCCACAAGTCACAATTATCATGGCACTAAAAAAAAAGAACTTGATGTATCAATCACAAGTGAAGGCTGTCCATAAGCTTACTGGTGTACCCCAAAATCCTATGGATGAGAACTCAGTGGATGAAATTCATACGCCTACGTGGGATACCACGATACCAGTTCCATTAATAAGCAAGCAGCAGCACTTTATGATGACCTAATTTCCCAAAATTTATGGTTTCAGAACCAATTCATAAAATTTCAAAGCAAAGGACCCTTACAAAACAATGACCTATTTTTTTCAATAAAGCAGGAAAATTAATCTTCGTCTACTCCTTCGAACGCCCATTCGTGTTCCTTGCGGATTTTCGCCTCTTCCTCGGCGGTGAAATCATTCACAATGTTGAATGTCCGGCGAACCCACTCCGGCGACTTATTCTTCATCACATCAGCAACTCTCTGACAGCAAATATCCAGCAAATTCTTGATGTTCAAATAATTGGCAGCCAAGATTATATCAAAAATCTCCGACAGTTTCTTTTCGACAAAAGCAGAATCGAATTTCTCCATATCTTCCTTCGAAACCGATGAGTCTACGTGCTTCTTGAGATATTCTATGATTTGAATCATAATTTTGCTGTTGACGTTGGGCAAGGGAATCACGTTGGAAGCGCATTCGTCTTCGACCATGTTCCTGATCGTCACGGCCTGGAGAGCGATCGTCTCTTCGATCTGGAATTGTTGCTTGTCGGACGTGCACAATGTGAGCATCTTCGTCTCTGTTGTTGTCGTTGCCATGGTCGATAGATGGAAAGAGAGAAACGTAGAGAACAAACTCAGAATTAGAACCCTCAGAGAAACCCTGGAGGAAGAGCTGGTTGATTGATTATGTATTGTATTGAATAGGCGTAGGAGTACTGAGGTATACACGTGTTAGGGCTGAGGATTCCTTTTAAAAAACAGTAATGCTATACAGACTAAAAAAATAAATTTGATAATCACAACTATTAATTTCTAGGCTGAGGAGAGATTAACTCGATCTTCTAATTTAACTTGCTAAAGAGTTTCCTCAGGGTTGTAATTGTCATTTAAATGATCTTCTCATTCTAACAAAACACCTCCATGGTCATCTTGACGACGACGACGACGACGACGACAATAATAATAATAATAATAATAATAATAATATTATTAATTTAATTTAAGTATTTAATTTAGGACTTATTGCATTGTAGTTATTAGATTTTGTTGGTAAATTTAGGTCAATATTGATACCAACTGGTAATTCATTTGTCATAATAAATTAAATAAAGTCTCAATGAGATTATACTTGAGATGAACTCGACAATAATAGTCATCACCGTTTGACTCCTCTCTTCCGAATTCTCTTTTTGTACCTTCTTGGATAAATAGCATTCCCACCCTCGAGTTATTCTTTCGGTTTTAAAATGTCGCTCAATTTCCATTTCACTCAATTTAGTTCTTAAACTATATAAAATGTATTCATCGATTTTTTTGCTTAACATATTGTAAAAAAATATAAAAATAAAATATGTAAGGAGTAAATGAAACAAGTTTTAAGAGATTTTCCATTTGATTTAATGAAAAGTTGCAATGAAGAAGTGGATTGTTAGTTTATCTCCATTAAACCCTAAAATTCGATAAATTGGCTTCTTCGTCACATCAAAAATTAAAACTTAATATTGATCCGATAGTTCTAATGAAATTATATCATTTGGTTAATAAATTAAAATAAATTTTTAAATCCAAATAACATTACTCTTAAAAAAAAATTAGTGGTTGTCTCTCATGAATTTATTCATTTAATTAATTTTTAAATAAGAGGCCAATGTATTTTTTTTTATTTTTGGTCTCAATAAGATGCCCATGTAATTAGCCAAAAAAGAAGGGGAAAGTCTATAGTACCGCCTTCGGTATCGTACCAAAATTTATCATCATTTAAGGTCAAGTTATAACTTTTTTGAAGTATAAGTTACCTTTAAGGGTCATGATCGATCATGATGGACTGGAATTGATAACGAAGTTACAACTTTTTAAGATCAAATTACAACTTAAAATGAAGAAGTTATAACTGCTTAGGGAAAGTTCATGATCGATCATATGTATTTGTGATCGATCATGGTTCCTTTGATCTATCTTAGACTTCCCTTGATTAGTTATAATTTCTCCCTTTTGAATTATATTTTTATCATAAAAATAGTAAGTGGAGGTACGGTACTGAAGGTGGTATCATAGACTTTCTTAAAAAGAAGTATCACTTTTTAAAGAAGAGAAGAAAAGAAAAATGGTGCTCCCAAAACTCTTTGGGCTATTTGGTATGTTTTTTGGGAGAGGTTTGGATTAACTTGTTCAAACCTTTTCAAACCCAAAGATAATGTTGTTCATACTCATGTTTGGAATGCGTAGGGATATATAATTATTATGATAATATATTTGTATATAAATGATTATTGTGTCCCTTATCTAATTTGTATATATGATATATGGGGGTATAAATTTCATTTGTATGTTAAACCCATTAACCCATATATGAAACCCACTCCCCTTAGGTTTCATGACTAGGCTGGGTTTCAAACTCTGGGCTAAATATATAGTTGTCAAATATGAATTTAAGGTGGTTTATTCTCTGACCCATGTTCCAAACCCCCTCTCCACACGGGCAGGGCTCTTTTGTAGTTAAGGTCTAGCAGCATACTTTGTTGTTAAATAGAACGGTGACGTTTTGGCCAAGACTCCAGCACCTAGCAATTACATAAAAACGTCGTCGTCTTCTAGCGTCTTCCATCTGTGCAGAACAAAACCTAAAAAAAAGATTGCTCATTTTCTCCAAAATCGACAAACTAGCCCTGCCTGTGTGTAATCGACAAACCAGCCCAACAAATACACAAAACTCTCAGCAGCTTGTAATCACCAACATAAATTCCAAAGTTTTCATTGCTCTTCTCTCTTTTTGTTTCTCTGTAGTGGTTGATTGGCACTTCAACCTCATCTCCTACGATTTCACACTCTCAAGTAATGTTGATATTTTTTTCAAATTTTTTTTATGACATTCAAGTTCATAAAATTCATATATATATTTTTTAAATTTCCTATAGAATCTTGATATAATTATGAGACTAACATCATTCTTTCTACTACGTTTTTTGTGAGTATATTTGATTGTTTGATATATGGATATTGGTGTTTTAGGCTTTGGTGAAATTGAGTTATATACACTTTGATACATAAGATTTTCTTGTTGATAGGGAACATAAAAAATAAGTATTTCCTTGTTCCATTTGTAATTGAAAATATATATGGCCAGTGCTTTATCTTATGTTTAATTTGTGTAATTGTTTGGTTATTATAGGGGACCTAATCTATAGTGGAGATGGAATGTGTTGAGATTGATAAAAAAGACAATACTCCATATATAGGAATGCAATTCGACTCGGAAGAAGATGCTTATAGGTTCTATAACAATTATGGTGGAACTGTGGGATTCAGTGTGAGAAAAGATTATCACAACAAGAGCTTGAAGGATGGTGTATTAATTTACAGAAAATACATTTGTTGTAAATAGAGACAAAGGAGTAAAGATCAAAGGAATTGGAAAATAACAAAAGCTCGGGCAGAGACTTGAACAATTTACCTTGCTCACATGTGCATATCCCTCAAGAAAGATATTGAAATATTTGTTGTTGTTAAATAGGAAGATCGACACAATCACATTTTGCACTTGACCGAATGTATGCATATGATATCATCCCAATAGAAAATTACTATAGCTTAAGGAATCGATGCTGATATTGTTGAGGATTGTGGGATATCACTTAAGGCGTCCTACGAGCTTTTGAGTACCCAAGCATGTGGGAGAGAAAGCTTAGGGTTCACTCATCAAGACCAAAAAAATTACATTCGAGAAAGGAGGCAGCGAGACTTGAAACATGGTGAAACGGGTAGTTTGTTGTAATATTTCCAAACAGAAACAACTAAGAATCCATCATTTTATTATAAAGTCCAATTGGATGTCAAAGAGTGCATAACAAATATTTTTTAGGTTGATCCATGGATGATTATTGATTATGACCACTTTGGGGATGCTGTCACATTTGACACAACATTCCGAATAAACAAGGAGAACCGACCCTTAGACATTTTGATTGGATTCAACCAGTTCAGGAGATGGTGATATTTGGCGCTGCATTATTGTATGATGAAACTGCAGCATCATTTCAGTGGTTGTTTGAGACATTCCTACAAGCAATGTTTGGGAAGAAGTATGTTACCATTTTCACTGACCAAGATCAAGCAATGACTAAAATTATATCTATAGTGATGCCAAAGACATATCATGGATTATGTTGTTGGCACTTTTCCCAAAATGCTTTAAAGCATTTAGAGAACATATATAAAGATGATTTAAAATTTTTAGCCCAATTTAAAGAGTGCATGTATGGATACGAGGAAGAGTATGAGTTAGTTAATGCTTGGAAATTGTTGCTTGATGAGTATAATTCACACGATAACAGTTGGATGAATTCAACTTGGGCACTAAGAGAGAAATGGGCACATGTGTATATGAAGTGGATTTTCACAGCTGGTATGAGGAACACTCAACTAACCGAGAGCTTGAACTCAGTATTACGAAAGTACTTAAAGCCAGACCATGATATTGTTCACTTTTTTACTCATTTAGACAGGGTTTTAACTGATAAGAGATATAAGGAGATAGAGAAGGAACATCAAGCTAGGCAAAAGTTTCCTAGAATGAAGTTAAAAAAAGCTCCTATGTTGGTGCAATTAGCATAATGTTACACTCCTCCTATTTTTGATTTATTTCAAGATGAATATGATGTATTCCAGTGTGCTATTGCGAATCCTTGTAATGTGTTCGATGGATGTCATGAATTCTGTGGTGGAATTGTATGATGAAGAGAGAAAGTACATGGTGTTGATTAATGTCAATGATCAAAGAGTTTTATGTAGCTATTGATAATTTGAAATGATTGGGATATTATGTGGTCATGTACTTAAAGTGCTAGACACGATGAACATTAAGCAAATTCCTGACCAATACATAATACAGAGATGAAGGCGAGAAAGTGATCAAGTCATTATTCTAGTGCCACACTAAATGAGAAGGATCCCAAGTTGATGGTAGCATCACGTTACAGACAGCTATGTCCGAGAATGGTACGTTTGGCAGCTCGTTGTTCTAACCTTAAGCCTGCACACCAGTTGGTGAATTGTGGTATTGATGAGTTGTTCAAACAAGTGGATTTGATGTATGTATCACTTGGTACTGAGGAGGACAATGATGGTGATGAATGAGTAGAAAATGTTGACCCTAACATTCTACTGGTTGCTGGCTTGAAGAGGAAAGATGGTGGTTACAAGGGTTGGGGTCGATTGAAGCCTTGACATGAGAAATCAACGAAGAGAAAAACTGGAACTTCCTATAGGTCTAAGGTATTACAACCCAACATTATGGTTATGCTATTTTGGATTCTTATTTTTTCTTAATTGTATCTTACATCTTTGAATGCTTGTTTTGAAGGTATCTTAATCGGATGAGCTAAATTCACATATGAATGGATTTACTTACTCATGGGCATCAACTTATAGTCACTCAAATCCATTCTCTAGCATGTCTTCTCAAACATCAAATTCTCAAGCATCAATTGGTTCACAAAATGCTCGGGTAAATGTTGAACCATGCTTCTTGGACAACGTCGTTGATTATTCTAATGAGGAGAATCGAGGTGGACAATGAATAGTTGTTGTCTTTGGTGCTGATTTTTGCAATGATGTTGCTGCTGGTTGGTTCTGATCTTTTGGCTGAGTTGTTGGTTGCAAAGATGATTGTTATCTTGATCTAGACAATTTTATTTTGATCCTTTTGAAATGTGAAATGGGCACAATGTATTCTTTTGCTATGGGGATGGTGGATCTTCTATTTTCTTGTTTTAGAAGATCTGCCATTCCTTTGGAAACATCTATGTACATGATCTCATTTTCGTTTTTTATGGAATTGATCTCACATGTGTATGATTCATGGTGTTCAATGTGTAGTTGTTATCTTGGACAAGTATCATGCGCAATGTTCAAACAACCAATACACATTCATTCATGTCCTGAACCATCTTCAACCAATGCACCAAAGCACCATGTTCAACCAACCAATACACATTCACTCATGCCATGAACCATCTTCAACCAATACATGAAGAGAAATTTTATTCCATGAATTCAGGAGATTACAAGAACCAAAGAATGGAAAAATTACAAGAAACACAAGAAATGGCTTTAATCCTTCAAAAGGACTGGAAAGCCTTGCAGCACTGGAAGCCTTCTCTGATCCTGCAATAGTCTCCACCTAACAGACGCAGGCAGCTGAAGACAAGCATGGCTTTACTCCGAAAAACCAGCATACATGAACAGAAACATGAACAATGACATAGCTTTTTGCTTCTTCTCTTCAAGTCCAGCAGCCTCATTCAACATGTCAGCAGCATCTTGGTGCATGGCTAACTTGGCAAAAGCAACTGACTGCATGTAGAAAGCTGTCAACCGGAACTTTATCACCAAATTTTCTTTCTTAAGCTCATTCCAACCATACCTCTCTCGCCTCTTCTCGACATCATAAGAGCTTAGACCCTTGTCTAGTTTCACCTTGTACTCTTTCAAACGCTGGTACAAAAATTGGCTTAAACCCATTTCAAATCCATGCAAAGGAATTCATGCACAAAAAAGAAACTTCGGCAAATAGTAGGCTGCATATTGAATTTACAATTCAAAATGACAAATAAAATTTAATACAGTGACTCAAAAATATTCTCGTTCTCTTCTTGTAGCATATCAAGCTGCAATTCAAGCAGATGTCAACTTAATAAAGAATTCAAGGATTGTGTTCTAATATAAATTTTCCAAAATAGAAAACTTATTTACTCATTCAAAATTGAACAATTTGCATAAAGATCTGCAATGTGCTACAAAATAACATTTTTATTCTATTTTAGAAGTTAACCTTTAGCCTGATAAGGAGATGGTAATTGACAAGAGAAGTGCAGAAGCCTCATGCTGATTTCCTGTGTCTTTCGAGTCAGAATGTCTCATATCTACTGTAAACCTACAATATTTCCAGTGAAACCAATGTATCCTTTAGTTTAACTCATTATCCTTTTCTTACCGAGTTACAGATTGCAAGAGATGGATGCTACATCAAAAGGAACTATAGATGGATGTAACTTCGTACATTCAATTTGTAATAAAAAAAACATATTTATCACTGCTTAAAGCTAAGCCTGCACTCATAATAGATGAGATAAAAAAAATCAAAGAAAAAGAATGCCCAAGTAACGAGAAAATCAGATGATAACCATCCAGCCGGTAAATCAATACATCAACATAGCATATAGAACCATAGCATTTACACTGACCCCTTAATGAGAAAGAACCGTAATCACTCATTTAGGTTATATAATCAAATTTTGGGGAATGATTACTCGAAGTTAATCTCGAATTTCAAACTTAAATCGACGTTAGGGCTTTGATTTGGGGGATTGATTGCTCGAATATAATCGTGATCGCAGCGAGGAAGAAGAACGAAGCTGCACAGGCGGGGTTGGTTTGTCGATTTTGGAGGGAAGGAGCAATCTGTTTTTTGCATTTTGCTCTGCACAGATGGAAGACGCTGGAAGACGACGGCGTTTTTGTGTAGTTGCTGGGTGTTGGAGTCTTGGCCAAAACGTTACCGTTCCATTTAACAGCAAAATCTGTTGTTAGACCTTAACGGCAAAGGAGCCCTGCCCCTCCCCACACTCCCCCCCAACCCACATACCAAACAAACCCTTTAGGCAGTGGCCAAAATTCTAGGTAATTGGCGGGACACAACGCCACTGGTTCAATCTGAAGCCATTTACATATTAGAACATCTAATTAAGTGGGTCCCATCTCAATTCAACGGCAAAGATCTCTTCACCATCCGCCACTGTAGGTCGGATGCCCAGGGATAAAGATTTCTGTGTCCATTTTCAATTCTCTCTCTCTCTACTCTTCCCTTTTCACTCTCTTTTACAACTCTTTGTATCGCTCACTTCAACCAGATCAGACCCAAGTCAGTTCCATTCCATCCAAATGGTTAGCATGAATTCCTTTGACCAAATGTCATCAAATTTAATATTTTCTTGGCCTCTCTTGAATTTGATAGATGCATGCATGCAGATGTATACAAAAACACAAATACGCACACCTTAAAGAACTTTTAGCCTTATTTTCTTGCACTCCATTCAATTTGATTAATCAAATTGGGTTCTGCTTAGGATTATAAATCGCATTTTTCACATGATTTGCTTTCATTTATACAATGTGATGTATTGCTCGCGAAAAAACCGTGTAGAATTGTTTCGTTCCACTTCATTAGATGTCATTGTTCAAGTTCCTTTATGTTCTTGATTGGAAAAGAGTTTTTTTTTTCTTCACATGATTCACTGTTATTGATGTGAATTTATGGTGGATTGGTTCTGAAGGTGGGTCCCGCACTACCGATGAATAAGATAAAACTAGAGTAACTGAGCAATTTACTGCACACCAAGTTCTTTGATACTTGTGCTCATCACATTGATCTTCCAAAGAATGAAAAGAAAATATTTTGCATTGACTGCAATCTTTGCTGTTGTAAGCACTGCATCTCTTCTGTGACTCATTGCCTTCACCGATATCTTCAAATATATAAGTGCACATATCAAAATGTTGTTTGGCTTGAAAATATGCAGAAACATCTTGATTGCTCCAAAATTAAAGTCACTACATCTCTATTTCCTCTCTCTTGCATGTTCAACCATACAAGCTTGTTTAATTGTCAATTTGATATGAATTCCATATGTTTATCATGAATAATTTGTTACTCTAAACTTATTGGTAAAATTCCTTTATTAATAATAGCCGTTAGACTATAGCCATTTGTTATAGAGTAAAATCTTGATTTGCAACTAAATAAATAAAAATTTCTAAAAATTAAGAAATTGAGGAAGGAAGGCTTTTTTATGCCCCAAACTCTTATTTGATTTTTAACCTTTAGATGAGTTTTTGGGCAGATTGTGGGGTTTCAATTGTTATGATATCTAACTGATAATTTCATCTTGACAATATGTTTCTGATTGGTCTGGTTGTTTTCAGCAGTTAGCAGGATTTATGTAGAAATTTTCTGGCTGTTTTTCAAGTTTTGATCTCTGTAGTTAGCTGTATTTATCCGATGTGTCAATTATAAATGAGGTTTTAATTCACTTGAATTGTTCTACCCATATGATTGAATTTAATGAGATTTTTTCTGTAGTCATTGTTTAAATCCCTTGTTTGGTTTAGAAAGAAAATTTGTTTATAGATATGCTTTCACAATTCACAGACATTCAAAGCCAATGGAAAAAAAACTGTACATTTAAATCCTGCCCCTGGATCAAAACATAGCACACCATTGAAATCAAAGAGTACTACTGCTACTGGTGCATCATGTGAAGCTTGTGGGAGGAACATCCAAGACTTGCCTAATTGCTTTTGTTCTGTTGCTTGCAAGGTAAATAATGGTGATGAACACATTTTCACAAGTTCATTAATTACTTGATCTCCATTTCCTACATAATAGTTCGAAGCTTGTCAACTTGTCATGGAAAATTATGAATATTTAGGTATTGATAGATTCATCAGAGATCTTGTGTAAAGACCAGAGCCAAGATATGATTGCAATCCCGGTTCTTGAATTTGATGGCCTGTCTGAGAAGCAAGGCCCTGACTCGGAAAGGGATAAAAATGAACATGAATCATCCAGAGAAAACCAAGCCATTGTAAGTTCAGCATTGAAGCCAAAAGGGCGATTGCGAAAGAGGAAGGGTGTCCCTCGCAGGGCTCCTTTCTGTTAGCCCAAAAGAATCATTCTTTTATTTGTTTCTAACAGTAGGAAAATCTTTAATACACCCACATTCTTTCCTTTAGATTACACAAGGTATATTCCCAATAAGACAACATTCTAGTATTCTTCATATATGATCTTTTATTTAGGTATACATACCACTCTCAATTTGCCCCCAGTTTTGTGATTTTTAGTTGGGTTAGTTGAAGAGTGTGACCCCTCTAATTGTTTGAGCATAGGGAGTTTTAGTAGTTGTAGTTGTACAGCATAATGGTGGTTGTATTTGGCAGAGGCATTGGCCATATATGGTGGATAGTAGTGGCTTTTCTGTCTATCCTGAGGTTTCAATTTTTTTTCTTATGATATCAATTTTTTCGATGGACTATGTTCCTTAATGCTTGGATTGAATTTGCACACTTTAACAGAACTCAATCTGATTAAAGGGAAAGACTTAACTCACAAGTCATCGAGTTCAAGTTTCATTGACAGCTCTGATTTGATCGATATTTGTGTTTAACAAGTAATTGAGGCTATCTGAATTGTATGAAGGTTAAAAAACATAACAATAGTCTTTCAAGTATGCGTTTTTTGTTACTTTGGTTTGTTGGGCTTTTGTGGAGTCTAGTTTTATGTTGATTCGGATGCTAACCCGTCCCGCCCCGAAATAATGTTACGTGGTTTTTAATGGAAAATTTTCTGAGGTCTAGTTCATGGAGCGAAGGCTTGGGCCAAAAATTTTTTTGGGCCTGTTTGTTTGTAGTCCGGTACAAGACATATAAAACCTGTTTCTTGTGGGTGATTAGGGTTGATTGACTCTGTATGGTTGCTCTGTATCTTTTCTTAATAATAGTGAAATCCCTGTAATTTCGTGGATGTAGGCAAATTGCCAAACCACGTAAATACTGTCATGTGCGTGTGATTATTTTTTTTTGACATGTATTTTTTCTATTGTTGTTTCTCACAGGTTTAAGAATTTCGCGTGAATTTCTTAACATGGTTTTCCTTCTTTTGATTTTGTTTTCTTAGCCCTCAAAGTTTCAAATTGTCTGCCTTTAGTCTAGTAAAAAACAACAATCATGTTCAACTAATGCAAGTGTTCAAGTGTGCTCCACGTGATCACACCTGAGGGGTCCTTTTGTCCCTCAAGTTTTTCATTTAAGCCACTTTTGATTCTTCAAGTTTATCATTTGTGTCACTTTAATCTCCAAAGCATGCCTCCAAGTGTAATCACCTAAAATGCACGTGAACGCTTATGCTAAACAACTTAAATGGACTTTTTTAATTGGACCAAAATAATACATTTCGAGAAATTAAGGGACTAAAGGATGCAATTGAAAGAACTGATTATCAAAATGATACAATCAAATGCATACTTAAGGAACCACTAGTGTTGATTGACAAAATAAACTTTTGTTAAATGGAATGTGATGGATAGAGGTCTTGTTCTTGAAGATATGTTATTCGTGGGTGTTAGACATTGGTGTTTCCTTTTCTTTTATTATTCGTAAGATGAAGATTTAGAAAACAGACGGGTGTCATTGATGTTTAATAACCAAATGATAGATCTAAACACATGAATGAGTGCTATTATTACAAAAAAAAAAAAAAAAAAGCATTTGATTAGATGAGTATGATGAACAAAGAAAAAAGAAGATTACAATAAAATCCGATGACAAATGTTAAACTTATATCAAAAGCAATGTATTGACCCAACTCATTTTTATTATGATATTGTGTGAAATTATTAATTGTGATGATAATTTCTTCATAGTCATTATATCACATCGAAAATAAGAGGACAAAGGACAATGCCATTGCCACAAATTAATTTTTATGATTGAGAATTAATTTTTAAATTTTATGACCAAAACTTTTTTTTAACGATAGTATCCTTTAAAAGTAGAGTTTGATGTGTTTTATTCAACTAAAAAGTTATCATTACAATAACTTGTCCTTGAATAAAATTTTGACTATGTTATTGTTTGGTCCTCCTTAGTTTAAAATCTTGATTCCGTCTCTGTTACATCCACATATAAAATTAATCTAATAAACATAATGATAATCTAAGGTTAAGTTACAAGTATATATAACAAGAGACATCTTCCATTAAACCAAGTCTCACTTGTATGAGAACTGAGCTGACTCTAGCTTCGGTTTCCCAAGTTCATTTTTTGTACTAATCAAAGGCTCAAGATTGTCAATGACTGCTACATGCTTGAACGTGGTTAATGTTGGGTCGATCTACACCTCAATATTATCACATCTCTCTGACGATTTAGGCCAAGAGGGTTGCGATGAGCTTCCTTCATCAAAATAATTAGTAGGAAAAATGATATTTTTTACCGTAAAAGATCTTTAAATTCTCAATTTACACACTAAAAGATTAAAATATCCACATTTTACCCTCAATCAAATAAAAAGATAACAACGCGCTCTATTTTAATAGAATTGGGTATAAATCTTGAATGTAAAATACTTAAAATTGAGTATTATGCAAACTAATTGTGGATAAAAATACGATAATAAAACAAATACAACAAAAAAATTTGTCAAATAAGGTAACAGACATTTGGTTTTGGGCCACATTATTACTTTTTGATCTGATTTAGAGTACTTGCAAAACAAGAATTTTAATCTTTCAGTGTGTAAATTAAGAATTTAAAAATGTTTCAGGGTACAAAGTGTCATTTAAGTGGACATTCTTGGCAATTTAATAGTTCTCTCCTCTACAATGGCCTCAAAGTTATGCCTTGAAGAAATAAGTGAATAACTTGAATACCTCTCGTAAGTCACGGGCAAGCCCAGTGGTCGGGGATTCTCTTTCAACGCCTGTAGCTTGTAATATTTCAAAACAAACAAATCTGTCCACTTCAATGAGAAACGATAACCAGAAGTTACTTGAAAAATTATAAGCAAAATGCATCAATGTTCAAGGCTAACCATTTGATAATGTAAACGAGTTGGAATTTCATACTAATATGGATCTGTTGAAACCTTCCACTCAATTGAGTTTGTTTAAAAACCAGGGAAAAGAAAAAAAAAACATGAGAAGAAAGAGTCAAGCCTTGAATTCATTGGGATTCCTATGAGGAAATTGATAAGGATTTTCAGCCACTTGTGTCTCTCATTCAACGAAGCCCAACTTGGCTTGGATATTCCACAGTTTTGCAGGTTCTCTAATCGTGCTCAACCTTGAAGTCAAGAGTGATCCTAAAAAAAACAAAAGACAGACAAACAAACAAATAAATATGAAGGAACAACTTCATTTAAAGAGATAGAATGCATCCACTCACACGTCATCTCAGGGGATCCCTTCATTTGGAGGGTAGATGGTGATTTTCAGCCCATCATTACCCATGCTCTGTTGCTCTTCCATAATTTGCCTGGCAGAATTTGCTGCAGAGTGACTTAAATGGGAAATCTCAATCATCCGTAATGTGGGTATATACCCTAATTCAGAGGGGATCTCCTCAAGCTTCTCACATTGTTGCACCACTAAACGCTCAATGTTCGGAAAGTGATCCCTGGAGGTTTTCCATCGTTTCAAAGTTGCTATGAAATGAAGCTTCAAAAACTTGAGTCGATTAAACCCACCATCATTTGTTTCCCACAGTGGTCCTATGAAAGCATTTCGTGATAGTTTTAGAACCTCAAGATTGGGTAACATTCCAAGTACAGACATCTCTTCCCACTTCCTTACCATACCTGATATAGTTAGTCTTTTAAGATTTGGAGGAAACTTGCACGAGGACAAATGGCCCTCGGTTATGCTAATGGTTATGCTATGTAACTTCAATGTTTCCAGATGCATCAAAAAGTCAAGACGAGGAAACCACAAAAAACCAAACTCGCTCATAAAATCTCCACAAAATCTCAGCTTTCTAAGATTGGGAGTCCTTGCCAACACTTCCTGGCAAGACTTGGAAGGGCGTACCTGTGAGATCGTATAAAGATTGTCCAATACAAAGGAACCATCATTGATAATTGTTTCCTCAAACCTAGGGTCTTCAATATGATTTTCCCCGGAATCAATAACAAGATATCTCAACTTGACCAACTTCCAAACAGTATTGGGTATAGTAATGGGTTTTGATGCTACAATTTTTACTACAAGGAATTCTAGGTTGAAAAGGTCAGATATTGAGTTTGGGAGAGACGCTTTTTCAAACTTAAGCGCCAAGTATCTCAAATGAATTGACCACTGCACGATTTCTTGGGGTAAGAAGGGCATAGCGATGGACAACAAATCCAACACCCTAAGAAGTTTGAAAGATTGATAGAAGGATAATGCATACTCCACAGAAATCCTATTTCTTTCAGAGGAAAAGCACAACAAAGAGCGGATGTCAGATCCCACTGGGTTGGAACATAGGTAATTTAAAAAATCAGAATGGATGAACGGACGATGAATATTATTCGTAGTATGATTTGACTGAGAAGAAAAGTCTCTGTACTGGGAAATCAGCTGCAAGAATTCCTCTTCCTTAGCTTTTGTCAAGCATAGATCACGCAACATATCATGAATATGACATGCTTTGATTCCACCATTGAACCTCCTTTTGGCAACTAACACCAAGTTTCTATCAGCAAGATCTGCCAAGTATTCCCTTGCTACATCCTCTAAGTTCTTTTGTTCAATTTCTTTTACAAATCCTTCAGCAACCCACAACCAGATCAACTTCCACTCAGGGATATGATAATCTTCTGGAAATGCTCCAAAATAAAGAAAACATAATTTTAAGTGCTCAGGCAAGTGATTGTAACTCAGTGCTAGAGTGTCCATGTATTGATTTGGGTCACTAGCAATGTATGAACTTACACTAGAGGCAACTTCCCTCCACCGGTTTAGTTTCTTCTCCGTCTTTGAGAGAAGTCCAGCTACTACAACAATTGCGAGCGGCAGACCATGACATTTTTTGGCAATTCGGTTTCCTTCTCCAAACAACTCTGGATAGGGACATTCTCCCTGGAATATCTTATGTTGCAACAGAACCCAACTTTCATGCTGATTTAGAAAACGTAAATAATGAGGAGGGATGGTAGGCTCAGCTTGCAAAGCCACGTCTGCGAGCCGCCTGGTAAACATGATTCTACTTCCGTTATTGTCATTTGGGAGAAATATCCTCAAACCACTGCAGGCCCTAATATCCCATATGTCATCCATAACAATCAGATATCGTTTATCCTTTAAGCGCCTGTACAACTCTCCACCTAATTGTTCTGTTGTCCCCGTAGGAATGTCATCATCTTTGAGCTTGAAAGCAGAACCAAAAATGCCTCTTAACAAATCCTTGATTGTGTATACTTGAGATATGGTGGTCCAACCACGAATATAGAAGTGATAAACAACGAAAGGATCGTTGTAAAGCTTTTTAGCCAGAGTTGTTTTACCAAGTCCAGGCATGCCGACAATGGAGACAACTTCAAGCCGCATTCTAACTCCACAAACCTGCTCAATAATTTGCACTGCCTCATCGTCAAAGCCAATCACTTGTTCTTCCTCTCCCCTTCGAACACTTGTCCTTGACGAAGTTCCCTCGGAAGACATTTTATCTCAGGAAACTTCTATGCTATACATATGCTTGTCAAAAATTCCACTGCCTATATAGCCTGTGGCAATAACAAAAGGACAGTTCATACCCTCTTTTGTGTTAAAATGATATCAATTCCAAACAAGCAAAGCAATCAGGTAATCAAAATATGAACCAATAAATGACATCAACCGCTACATCCACAATGGGAGATCCAAATTTTTACCTAAACTCCCACAAAGAGAAAACCACCAGACCAAAGACTATTCCAATCCACTACATCAAAATTTACCTCATAAAGTGTGTATAAAAAAGATTATTACCAAATCAACCAGTGAAGAGATTTTATTTCCTTTATCGAAGGCAAAAGATAGGAAGATTTATAGATTCCTGGAGCAACTGCTATGCAGCACTCTAAGATCTCATCAAAATCGAACTTGATTCATCATTTGATCTTGGGTCTGATACTGCAACCACATTGAATCAAGAAAGGAGGAACCTGCTTACTTCCATTGTTCAGAGAAGAGTCTCCAAGCAGCAAGCGACAGACATGATTAAAGAGATTACCAGTGAGGAGATTAAGGGAGTTTTCTATTCCATGAATGATCACAATGCACCTGGGCTGGATGGCTTTAATGCATATTTTGTTAAGAAGGCATGGCCTGTCATAGAGCAGGATGTGGTGAATGTTGTTAAGGAGTTTTTCCACACTTTTAAGTTTCTTAGAGAACTTAAGGCAATAATCATGGATTTGGTTCCCAAAGAGCCAAACCCAACTTCAATGAATGATTTTAGGCCCATATCATGTTGTAACACAATCTCCAAAACTATCTCTAAGCTCATTGCTGTAAGGATTAAGGGAGCCTTACCTGATCTGATCTCTCAAAATCAAACAGAAGGTTGGTTTGGGAAAGGATTGAAAAGTATGTGCAATCATTAGCAACAACCAATGGCACTGGCCAAACTTTTCTTCTTCAGAGATGCAAGAAATTGTTACCACCATATCCTGAATCAGGCAATTGAGGATGTTGTTAGATGGAAACTTACTACAAATTCTCTCTACTCAGCTCACTCTGCTTGGGATCATGTCAGAAGCAGAGGTCTTCAAGTATCATGGTATAAGCTGGTGTGGTTTGGAAAATCAGTACCTAGGATGAGCTTTACCTTGTGGCTTGCCATTAAACACAAACTCAGCACATTGGATAGAATGTAGTCATTTGCTGCTCACTTGGGGGTTGGTTTTATCTTGTGTAGAGAAAGTCCCGAGTCATACCAACATCTCTTTTTTTGAATGCCCTTATTCAACAAGTGTTTGGATATCTATCCTGTTGGTGAGTGGTCAAATATGGCAAGCCAGGCCATGGGGGAAGTTCATTGAATGGACTAAGTCTAATTGGAGGGGTAAATCAATGCTCAAAGTGATTCTCAAGCTCAGTCTTGCTGCTACCACCTACATAATTCAGATGGAAAGGAACAATAGAAGGTTCAAGAATCAGTTCAGGGACTTCATTACTGTCAGCCACCTTATTCAGCAAATCATCAGGAATAGGTTGGCATCTCTTTGCTTCAAGAGCACACAGTTTAATAGGCTGCTTATCCGGGACTGGTTGCTTCCAGCCCACTGCCTTGTTTAGTAGAGTTTAAGATTGTCCTGTGATCTGTTGATACTTTTTGTTCCATTTTTGTTTTATCATTTTGCAGCCTGTTAAGGATGGTCTAATTATGGATGAATTTAGTAGGACGTTTTTGCTCAAGGCGTCTACTTCCTCCTAAATTCTGTTGTTATGGATCAACCGGGCATGTTCTCTTTTGTAAGGTATCAAGAAGGACCTCCTTGCTTGTAAGTTGTAAGTTGTAAGTTGTAACTATTGGTTTTTTTCAATTACAATTTTACTTTCCAAAAAATAAAAATAAAAACTCTTTGTATCAACAATGTTAGGCCCTTTGTTATAATAGGATAAAACTACTCAAATTTGTTTACCAAATGTTGTATTCCAAATAATGTCAAAATCCCATTCATGGAATGATTGGTACAAGTTAGTAAACTTCACTGATCCAACCACCACCACACTGATTTGGGATACAAAATTTAATAAATGATTTGGTAAGCACGGCAACTACTTTGAATGGCCTTTGGAAGCCGAAATCTCATATCTGACTCTGTCTACAGCAGCATGTATGTTAGTAAAATCACACAAAGAGAAAAAACGAGGGTTGCGAAATTCATCGGATGGACGTCAAGTGATTGACCTTATCTCTCCAGGATTGGAGCCTCACTAAAATTACATGTAAAATTTAAATCCAAAGATTAATCACTTCTTCATGCACATAACGTTTCTGTCTTGACTTGAGCAAGGTTCTGGCAAAGACCCTAATAACAATAACAAAAGGACAGTTCACTTTCCTTTTTGTGTATTGAAATGAGATCAATTCCAAACAAGCAATTCAATCAAGTAAACAACATATTCAGCACAATTCTAGCACCAAATTGTTACATATAATTGGAGAACACCACCGGATCAAAGACTATTCAAATGCACTACATCAAAACATATATCACAAAGTGGGTTTAAGAGAAGATTACCAAATCGACAAGTGAAGAGATGTTGTTTCCACTGGTGAGAGCGAAAGATGTGAAGATTTAGATTCCAGGAACAACAGGTACGCAGCACTCTAAAATCCGATCAAAAACGAACTTGTTTCACAATTCGATCTTCTGACCGTCCTTTTTTTTGATCCCTTTTACATATCTGCCTCTCATGTTTTCCACATACATATTACATATGTGTCGAGGTGCTTTCATTATTTTTTAAATAGGAACTGGTCGTTGAACCACTTCAGGGAGTAAAAAATTGCAAACAATATGGTGGAAGGTGCAACTTTCCATCACCGTTGAAAATAAATGTTGCATTATTGAGTTTGTTCCACAAACTCAGCCACTTGACACATTTTTTAGTTTAGATATGATGTTATTTTAATGTATAGAAGACACATTGATTCAACAAATTAAAATAAAATAAAGCAATGTTACATCTATCTCTACTAAGTTTTTAAACGAGTAGGTGGTAAACATGAATTTCAAAACTCATTTGATTGGTCATGTTCTTCCTGCTGAGTTCCTAAATTGAATTCCCGATGTTGTGCTTGGATGCTTCCGAATTTGGCCGGGATAACTCAGCTAATACTCATCAAAACTCAGAGTCATGTCAGAGTCATTTGTTGGAATTAGAGCATATTTTTTACTTATCTATTCCACTGGTGATCAAAGCTAAATTTGCCAGAACACATTCGTGTAACCTTCATTACTCTTCAAGGTATTAAAGCTAACTGTAGGACTCGTTTGAATTTCCTCCTGCTTAACCGCCTGTTTTCACCAGGTCCTCTTCAAGTCTTTTATACTCCTCTGTCAATGCATCACCTTCAACAAGTATCACTAACTCTTCATGTTGCTTTTTCATCATCTCATCCGGCACATGGAATGTATATATCTACATCATCAAAAACTATATTTCAACAGTGTTGAATAAGAAAACCTTCTCAAATAAGCCAAAGTCTTATGTGGGTATTTTTTAGGTGAACCATCAGATAATGAATGATCTAATGGTTACTAGTCAGAGAAACAAGAAATTAATTATCAAGAACTATCAAATTTAGCAATTTATTAACTAAGAAGTTTTAAAGACACATTGATTGGATTTCTAACCTTGTTGGGAAATTGTATTTTTTTTTTTCAGTTCAAATATTTTACAAATAGAAGAAAAACAATTTGACGCTTTGACTGAGTCCGATCAATGTGTATAACCCATTTGGGATGAAAACCTCAAAATTCCTGGTATAAGTGATCTCACACGACTCTTATGACAAAAATGTATATATATTTTTTCCAAATTAAATCTATTACAAACAAAGAATATATATATGACTCTTATCAATCTGAATCAATGACTCGGCCAGTTCCTCTAGAAGCTTACACAGGACTGCTGAAGACATGCTTCACTAACCTCCAGAAACGTAACAAAGTGGTGTAGTGAAGAAGAATTTGAACATGTGTCAAATCACTGAACCTCTACCGCATTCAGCCCCCGCTTCATCTTCAACCTACTCTCTCTCAAAACGTCTACAAGAACTTCCACATCTCAAACCTCCTAAACCGCAAACCACCAGACCCAGGTGACTAAAATCTGATTCACATGTGTTAGTTCACATGGTGATGGAGAAGGCAGAGGTTCCTTGGAGGTTTCAGAGGAGACATGGAGTTTGCTTAAGGGAATGCAGTATCAGATTAGTCATTGTATTCAGGGAAGCTAATGTTGTTGCTGACTTTCTGGCTTCTTATGCTGTTAGAACTGGGTGCTTTACTGACTTTTCAGTCAATGGTATTTTGCCACTGGATGGAAGGTTGATTCTGCATTAGGATCAATTCAGGATTCCTACTGCTAGAGGGAGGAGGGTAGTATGTGAGGGTCAGGTTGATGTAGATCCTGGATAGCAATCTGCTGCTACATCAGGTGTTGAGTGAGGATTTTTAGAATGTATAGAGGGTGCACTGGAGCTGGTTTTATTCAGCAGAAGGGTTGGTGAGTAATATGGCTTTAGATCCTTTGAAGGATTAAAGCCAGCTCTTTGCAAAGCAGAGATACAAGCATGATGCTCATGTGTCTGTTATGTTGAATTCTGTGTTGAGCAGTGTGCTGCTGATTTGGAAGTGCTATCAGAATGGATTGTGGCTTGGTTGTGTTGATCTGTGGTGGTCAGCAGGATTGAGTGCATGATTTGGGAAGTGATGTAAGGTTCTAAAGGTCCAGGGGCAAAGGTTTGAAATGATGGTGCTGCAGACTGTAGAGAGGAGCAGGGCATTTTGTCTGGCAAGGTGGTGTTAGGAGGCTAAGGTGCTGTTTGGCAGCTAGGCAACTGGACATGGCCTTTTCAGCTTCAGGGTGCAATCTGATGCTGTAGCAGATGTTCCCCAGCTGGATTTGAAAAAGCAGCATGTGAACAGGAACAGTCAAACGTTTTTTGTCTGACTTAGCAAGAGAATTCTGTAACAGTTATTTTTAGTTTTTTTGTTTTCTGTTCAAATAGGGACTGTTTTTTTGTTAAAACAGTTTTTGCCTTTGCTTGTTATAATTTTGAGGTTTAATAAATAAAAAATGTGCTCAAACCTAGTTTCTTTAAAAAAAAAAAAAATGTTGTCTCATCCTCCCAATAAGCCTTGGATCAAATATGTTTCCAAACAACTGGTGAGTGAATCTCTTTAAGATAACTCCGCCCTTCCTGTCAGGTTTGTTTATTAGAATAGTAAGCAATTCAATAATTCAATCCACATAATACCAAAGAATCATAATTTTATTTTATTTTGAATTCCTAACAACTTGACAGAAGGATTGGATATACACAATTAACACATATCAAAAAGGGAAATCACTATGTTGACTAACACTATAAAGTAATGCAAGCAAACAAAAATTAATTTCTTGTAATAACACCACAAACATTTGGCAAGAGAAAAAAAATTACGGATTTTAAACAATAGGTATGAAAGCACTAAAACTTGCAAACACCCAATTGAGATTAGAGATAAATATCGCCGCAGTCGCAGATTCAATCATCCAAAGAGCCCTGGGTCAAGGATCAAAATAACAACCCATAACAAATCAGAAAAATGGAACACAAAGTATGGGTATCATTCATTTCCCATGAACAAAGAGCCAGTAAAGCATGAAAGTTTGAAACTATTGAAATTATAACAAAATTCACTTTCCTGGTGTACCTAACTCTCGGGATCCTTGAGTATAAGCATAATATATAGATTTAACCAATGGCATTAGCTTATATACAGATTTGAATTGTAGGCGTAATCAAAAAAACCATAACGGTGCCTACAAATCTAAAAGGTAGGATGTACGCAAACAACCAAAGCAACCATATTTAAAACATAGCGGATGTAACAAAGACTTATGAATTCATTCAATTGAATGGTGAACTAATGAAACTAAGCAACGGTTACAATGTACAATGTAATGAATTGACATTACAATGTATGCAATAGTGTTGCACATATGGAGCCATCAACAACACTACATCAACGAAGACATTCATATCAATCAAAGACAATTTAGTGAAGGCATACCAAAGTGAATGGAGAACAAAGGCCAAAAAAAAACCGTATAAAGATAGAGAAAATAAAGGTCCACAAACTATAACTTAAATTATTAAAATTGAACTCAAGCAAAAAAAATCAAAATAGCCAACAAAAGTTGAATCCCTGCACAATAATTTATATCCATAATAAAACCTTGCACTAAAAAATAACAAAAAGTGCATTCTATTAGCATTTACAGTCAAATAATACCTAGTGATGTTCTACTTATCAATCCTTTACTATGCTCCTATTGCAACAACAAACAATACAAAAAACCATCCCTCTAATTGAAAAAAAAATTCCATTGCATAGAAACATTATAAGGGCTACAATCAAACCATCAAATACCTTGCATACCTGCAGATTTGGGTAAACACCTGAAAACATAAAAACTAAATTTTTTCTCAAAAAATGCATTCACCCACATATCCATATGCTCAAAACTAAAAATAAAGAATAAAGAATATAATTATCAATTAGGACTTTAGATTCGGTGTTTGAGCCCATGAATCAACTATTTATTACATAGGAAAACTGAGAGAACATAAATTAATTTGGAATTGAGATGTTATTGGGTGGGTGGCTAAGGGGTTGGACAAGTACATAAGCAGGTAACTCCAAGCAGATAGAGCTAAAAGTACCTTCAAAGGTTCGGAAGCACTAAAAGTTAACGTACAAAACTGAGTATCTTTGTCTGGTACAACAGATTAATGGCAATAAGCATAACCACCACCTTGAAGTAGCTTAAAGTGCAACAAAATCCAAACCCAAAAGAAACAGAGACATAAATCATCAAACTGAAGTACCAAAAAAATTCTACTTGCCTTCAAAATGCTTTTACCCCTAAAATATGTTTTCTGTATGTTTGAGCACATTCAAATGGTTGAATTTTCTGAATGTAAGAACTATTTTAACATAGATGTTGAATTTAATGAAATCAAAGACCATGACAGAGGCCTTAAAGGCACAAAAGAAAATCTGGAACATTGATGAGGATAACTATGTAAGTTTGTAATAAAACTTTTTTGTTGTCTACCTCACTCTTACTTCATTCATCCCACATCAAGGCTATAAAATCAAAAAAATTTAAAAAATTCCCTCTAATAACAGTCTTGTAAACATTTAAACCTGTATATAATTTTTTTTTAGTTTCATAACCACACCCTAAAAGAGAGAAATAAAACACTTCTAAGAGTAAGAAATAAAAACAAACACTATCACATGTGTTTAATATCATCATCCACCAAAAGAGACACCAAGATGAACAACCAACATAAGGAGGAATTGAATCTAATTTTATCCTTCAAATATATGTGTTTGAATTTTCTGGTAAATTAATAATTGTTATGTTCATTGCAGAATAGGGCTAAATGCATTAGTATCAGAACCAATTTGACCAATTAGCAGGCCCACAGAGATTTGTTTGGAAATGCAAGGGTACCCTCCTACCCACATACATCAAATAGAACAATTATAGGTGACTTATGTCCTCTTTTGGTGATTGCAGTCAAAGATCTCAGGGTTCACTATCTACATTTATATGTATGCCCACCATTTATATCTATGTACATAAACTACATAGATATAAAAGGTACAATTTTCACCAATCCATTAAACGAGTACAATTTTGGAGTCTCATTCCATGTACACACGTGGGGAAGAGACTTCTTAGGCTTCTTCCTCTGCTGCTTGTGAAGGTTGATAGCACTTGGAATTTTAAAAATCACATCATATTTGTTTCCTATAAATAGAAGTACACTGATTATTTGCCTACAAAAACTACATCAATCGTCACTAAAATAATCCAAAGGGGACCTTGATCTTGTGTAGTTTAGCGATTAAGCTAGAAATGACAATAACACTATGGTTCTCTTTTAGCTTTTTGATTAGAAGCAATTGCCTTGTTCTTACTGGTGTCACTCCATAGTCCCTTCAACATGAAATGTGATGGACATAAACCAGCAAATACAAGGTTCTTTGCTATAAGTGGTATCAAAACACAAACCACAAACAAGCCCAGGCCATAAATTTGAAGTGACAAAAATTGAGAATTGGTTCCAGATTATGGGTTTATCTCACTAGTAATCAAGCAACATTCTTAGCATAAGTAATCAACCAACATTCTTAGCATAAGTAATCAAGCAACATTCTTTGCTATAAGTGGTATCATAAGTTCTTCTCTTTTAGTAATGAGCATTTGAGATCAGTAAGCAATGACTGTCATACGTCACAAATAATACTGTCCAACATGGAAACAAATCAAGGATGCAAAGAGAAAACAACAAACATCTCTAAAGTTTCAATAAGTAACCATTAAATCAAAATATATTTCTAAAAAATTAAAGCAATAGTAACAGATCAATGGTGTAGCAATTAAATCCACGTTTTTCTCATTTCACTGCTCAATGGTGTAGCAACTAATCACTTGCATTTCATCAAACAGGTTATGTGCAAGAAGGGGGTTGGGTTTGTTGCTTCAAATCTTTGGTTGAGGGTGTGCGAAGTGTGTATCGTTGGAGTTGGTGGTGGCAGTGATGGTTCAATATACTTCTTGTTGTGGTCGTTGCTAGTCTCATTCTGGTCATTGGTCACCAGTGGTCTGGTGTAGAGTGATGATTTTCGCATTGCTAGTGACGGTTAAGGAAGAGGGTTTCGAGGCTGAGAATAGTGAGAGAGGCGTGAGAGATAGATGGGTCTCTGAGAGATATTTGACGAAAATCTCAATAACATACAGAGATAAGAATTACATCACCTAGATCTAACCTCATTCACTAATTCCTAACCAAAACACGAATATTCAATGACAAATTCGCAACCCAGAGACCAAAAACAGAGGATATTCGTGCATATACACACGGATATACGACAACCTCCCATTCAACAAAAACTCCTATCGCAAACGAAAAATATAAGCATAATACATACACACACAAAAATTTGAATATCCAAAGCGTACCTGAAACAGAGGATCTTCTCTGTCTGTCTTTGTCCTCTCCTTCTCTATCTATGCCTTTTGAATTAAGCAGGAAGACGCAAAGGAACGAAAAGGAGAAAGAGATTCGTGTGTGGTGGGTCTGTGTTGGGCGTGTGTGTGATGGGTCTGGGTTTGTTTGTGTGTGGGTGATGAGTGTATAGAAGAGGGCAGAGAAGAGGCGGGGGTATGATGGGTGTGTGTGAGAGATGACTTCGGCGGTGTCGCTGGGGCGGTGGTGGTGTTGCTGACTTCGGCGGTGGTGGTGGTGGTGTTGCTGGCAAGAAGAGAGAGAGAGAGATGACCGCTTGACTGAGGCCATTTGACAATGAAGTGACTGAGTAGTTCATTTTTTTGAAAATAATTATGGGTGAAAAATGTGAATATTCATATCCAATTCCATATTAGGGTTAAGTTGAGTTGGATGTGATGGTTAGGTTGAGTTAAGTTGAATGAGATGAATTTAGGAGGGAAATATATGGACTTTTGAATTTGAATGAGATGTATTGCGAGCCTTTGGATGTTGAAGCCTTTGGATGAATGGAGACTATCCGATCAGCTTGTTGAAGTCCCGCTCTGTTTTATATTATAGATGGGTTTAAAATTTGTAGAGTACCATGTGTTCAATTAAATAATAAAAAAATAAAATCATGTCCTTA